TTAGTTATAATTTATAACCTATTATTAATATAATACCTAATTACTTAGATTAATTACCCTAGTTATTTTATTAATATAAACTATAACTAGTTTATCTCTTAGAAACCTTAGCTATTATAAATAAGCTATAGCGCAGTATTAATTATACTAAAATAGTTTACTTTTTTAGTTTCTTACTATTCTTAGCCTAATATAGCCTAATATTATTTTAAATTTTACGCTTATATAATACTAGTATTATACGTGTAATTTTATTTAACTATAAAGCGAATCAACCAAATATTAATTAGTATTAAATATTAAATAGAATAGAAATAAAAATAATAAAAAATCCCAAGTATATTATTATTTTCTGTTTTTACTAGGTAAATTTTAATAAGTAAATAAAATACCGTGTATTATAAATTATTTTCTAAGCTTATAAACTTAGTATATTTAGTAGTATAAATTAATAACTAAAATATTTTCTACTATATTTTCTTATTTTAGCTATATATAATAGAGATAAAGTATAAAAGTATATAATTCCTAACAAATTATAGCTATTTATATTTCGGATACTTATTATCTCTTAACTTTTTATAAGTAGCTAAAAAAGACCTCAACCTTCACACTTTATAGTTATATATTTATAAGACCAAGAAACTCACGTTTCACTTACTACTTACCTAACGGTAACCGCAAGATAGCAAGGATCTCATTAAACACAATATCGGTTAGCGAAGCGGCCGCAGCCGGATTAAGCAGCGAGGACACTACACTCTCCACATCACACCCTGATTGCGTTCCACGCCCGTCCATGTGGTCGATGAGAAATTTTGCGGCTCCTGCCGCACCGGTAAGGCCAACAATGACGTGCTCACCAAAAGATTCTCTCACATATTTGATCTTTGCACCGTTGTGGCAGTGGCTCTGGATTAAAGCCTTTGCATCAGCTTCGGGGAGTACCTCATCCTTTATTGCATGATACACGTAGTAGGGAACCTTGGGTGTGCCGTAGCTTCCCATTTTATTTTCGCGAAGAACGGCTTGGACGACGTCGGCTTCGAAGAATTTCTCCCCATCTTTGAAGTAGCCAAATACGTCCCTGTACAGGTTCCGCAGAACAGTAGGGATAGCGAGACTTTTCTCAAACGGGAGAAACTCATCACGTTTCCCCTTAGAAACGAAGGAGTCGAGAAAGTATTGACGAAGTTGAGGAGTAGATTTGGAGATGCCGAGGATGCCAGACATGGCGAGTCCGGCTCCGAGTTTGCCACTTAGGCGCTTGATAACACCGGCGGCATCTACTGGCAGGCCACCAGAAGCTGCCACAATAATGTTCTTGTCCAAGTCGGGAGCATATGAGCCTTGAAGCTCGAGTGCGAATTCAGTGGCCAGTGAACCTCCCGAATATCCCCACAGAGCAACCTTGGCGTCCTTCTCGACACCGGTGCTGCGCTTGGACCGGAGAACGGCGCGAATTCCATCGAGGGTCGCTCTACCGCTCATGATGCCATTGACAAAGAGCCCATCTGGGCCTTCATAGTCCGGGCTACACACTACCCAGCCCTTGCTGAGCATGGAAACGAACCACAGGATGCCATATCTGCCGAGGAAGTTTCCAAGTTTCTGTTGGTCAAACTGAATAACATAGCTTGTAAAGCCTTCATCAAACGGCGAGTCCATCTCTGCCTGATAGGAGAGTACTTTCTTAAAGTTTGCATTGTGTGGGATCATGACGGTAGTGGCAGTGGCAGTAGATACGTTGCCTGGCCCTGTTGTGCGATAAAGAACCTGATATGCGGCGGCGAGATTCACTTGAAAGTGAAGCAGTCCCACGGGCTAAGGCACTGGTCGGCTGTTGATAATGTCTCCAGGCTTATAATCCGAGATGTTGGCGGGGATCTTGTAAAAGGGGTCTTGCGAAGGCGGCAAGGCAGTGCCTCTCGGGAAGACAAGACTCCGAGGGTAAGCCGCAGCAAAGGAGAGCCAAAGGCCGCAAGCCAGGATAGTATGAAGCAGCATTTCAAAGTGTAACAAGTAAATAACAGATAGATAAAGTAGAGAAGAAGAATCCCGTGTTTTGCTATAGAATACTGCCGTCGTCAATATATAACTAGAACGGCAATGTCGAGCGGTGTTCGTGTCCAAACCGACGACAGCCAAAGCGACTAGTACCTTCACATGTGCTTAATACGAACTGGAAAAAGCCTTGGTCGATTTTACAGTCTAGTCTAGGTTCTAGATAGGTCCGTCGTTGCGTTCAATTACGACTTGTCTTCGATCGAGGTCGTCTTGTAAGTGATGCCAAATACGAGCAGTTGAGCGGCCGGCTTTTAGCTCCTCGGTCATGTGGACGAAACGGGCAGTCGAAAAATTAGAGTAGCCGTTTAAAGTATTCTGGGGAGACGATCCAATGGCGGGAGTTATGCAACCATGCGTATTAGCTCGACTTTTAACTTCAGTAGTTCCGGGGTTATCAGTCCCTAGCGTTTATTAGTCATACCAGACTTGACCTGACGGGACAATGTGCCGGCACTAGCGAGGGACTTTGCTACGCGATAATTCAACGTGCCTGCTAATTCCAACGATGCTGAGTCTCCTCCTATATTCACATGCAGGAACTCAAGACTAGGGCAAACGAGGCTCATCACTCATCAGCAACGGCTTCACATGACAAAAAGGTGACTCATTGCCACGGGGCCGCTTTTGAAGGCCTCGTGACTGATATGCGTCGGGGCACTCTCGTTTTTGTTTACGAGCTTTTTGCAGCAGCCCATCTTTTGTCATTGGTGCTACGGGGGGTCATACACGAGCCATGCATACTTGACGCATTATATTCAAATGGTCGGCCACGCTCCCGTTTTCGTTTTTCTTGTCCGAGCCACGCATTCGGCAACGTCTTGACTCTTGAGCAAGTGTCTTTCCAACTTTGTAAAATATGCGTTTCTCCAAGTGGACTGCAATTTCCTCTGCCATCAGTAAGTCTAGGAAGCTCGACAACAGCTCCAAAAAACGCATTGCCTCGGGCTAACAATCAGGCATAGGTGGCATGATCCTATCGTGCAATGCTGCTGCTCCGACCCCTTCTAACGACACCGTTGTGGTGGCGGGCATGCTCCAGCTAACGGCTGAGAGCATCCATAACGCAACCCTTGACCTCAGTTAGTCATTTCATTCATTCGTGGCCCATCTCAGGAACAGCGCAGTTAACCAGAGACGCTGGGACAGAATCCAAGTTTACCGACCTTGGTGGAAAGGATGCCAGCGACGATGCGGCAAGCCAAGAGCTCGGCAGGTTACTGCAGCTAGCCACTAATACCATGAGCAATGGCTCTGCTGTCATCGAGGCAATTTCAAAAGACTCGAAAAGTCTGGGTAACCTGAAGTACAAGCGTGACCTGCTTGGTGGTCTCGTCCAGTCGGCGGGCGACTTCTTCGGCGGCATCGCCAAAGCCGGCGCCAGCATCGTTGCCGGTTTCTCCAAGGCTGGCGGCAACGCTCTTAAAGGCAACTTGCTCGGCGCCGGTGCCGATATTCTGGGTGGTTTCGTGCAGGCCGGCACGGATTTCTCTGGAGGCATCGTGGCGGCCGGCGAAAGCATCATCAATGGTGCCGTACAAGACGTCAGCCACACGATTAGCTCTCTTGTGGACGTCGTTGCCGTCCCTGCTATCAGCACGCTGATCAATCTAGTTGCAAATACTGTTCAACTTTTTATTAGCTCTTTTCTAAATTTGGGTTTGGATGTTTTATCTCGATTCAACCACGGTAAACGACATCCGTCCTCGCTTGGTATAACCCCCGGCTAACTTTCAGCAGATTCATTTATTCAGGAAAAGTTCGCGGGTCTTACCGAACAGTTGGTGAATTTCCTGGAGGGTTTGAAACCGTTTAGTACATTGCCCGGATTTTACCCCTTGGTAGACGACGTGACCAAGGTTATTGTCAATATACCCTTCTAACCGCACAGTTGAATAGCAGCTGGAGTGGCACAGAATGTGTCCGGCGCATTATTCGGCGGATAAAAACTGTCTGACGTGTCAATTATCTGTGAAAATAGCTCCATATAGTTATACCAGGCCGGTTTCCTAGACAGAATATCTTCATCATCACTGTTATAAAGCAGACCAGTTATACTATCCATTGCTGCTAATCGACAATGTCTAGACCATGCTTTGTGATAATCGATTCCTCTAGGATTTGCTGAATAAGATGCCACTTTCCTGTAAACGGGGTAATACTGAAGGATAACTACCGATATACTCTCTATTAAAGCCGTCCACAAATTAAGTAGTGAAACAAGATATAAATACACTAATTACTTCTTTATCCCTATAGCATAACAAACATTCATGTCTATTCTAGTATCACTAACGTACTTTGGCCACGAAAGTCAAAGGCTGAAATCTTACTATTGCACTATTAGCTGCGGTTCATAGTTAGTCACAATCATGGGGGCAAGAAATGTCGGTACATGCAGCTTTTCATCTGTCACCACTTGGTAGTGTGTTGGAGACAGAGCAGCAGCCACAAAAGACTACCAGACCCGACATATGTAGGAACGTCGGATGGATTTGGCATACTACTCTGACATGTGACGAGTCGACCAAGATGCCTGCGAAACATTGAACCAGACCCTCGCGGCAAACGCGGCGTTCGCTTTTCCGGGGCCTTTCCGGGGCCTGTCCCCATTCCCCATCTGACTGTCAATGGGCAAGGTTTGGAAAAATGACAGGCTGATCGACGTCGATTTGCCCCACTAGCTAAAATTGAGGTTGTTGGAAATGCGGGTGCACAAGAGGCTAGTTCGCATGTGCTATGCTACGAGCACGGGCTATGCCGTACCTATATATTGACCAGAGTCCAGACTATAGAGTAGACCAGACATGATTGTAACGACGTAGCAGCTAGGCGTCTCCAGCTCTACGAGGTCGATTTACACTATTGACACTAGCAATGAGAGCTAATACACATAAGGGTAGTAGGATACGGGCAGCTAGCTTCGTGAATTTCAATTTGCGAACTTTTAGCTGCGATACGTTGGCCAAGGATCTCTAGACTATTAGCCTAAACTAGGCTAGTAGTCTAGTCTCTATTTGTGAGAAAAGGGTCTAGCAGAGGGAACATTGAATCTAGAGATAAACCAGGAAGCCTCGTGGCGAGATAGTTACTAGATAGAGTAGAGATGGTGATTCTATTGACCTCTAGACCTCCCAGCTTCATTCACAGCGTCGGCGTTGTCGATCGAAACTCGTAAAACTAAGGCTTAAAAGAGACGTAGCCTAGGTCATCTCGGGATTGTAATTGGGTCCCGGAGGACCTTGCGCGACCGAGCGATTCAGCCTCACCGGTAGTCTCTTGACACTATTTGTCAGACTTATTACAAAACTATTGTTAATGCTTGTTAAGGAAAAAACAGGATCACGTAATACTCCCTTGTTATTCACATGGCAAGGAAGGTTCTTTTTCAACGTTTCTTTTACTACCTTGCGTTACGTCTTGTGTATCGAATACGTTGTATCGTCCTTAGGGTGAAGCTGTCAGAATACCCTACTTTGCTCGGCTCAACCCCATGCCTAAAAGCAAGTCATTGCCTTGGGGTGGAGGGCTGAAATTCGGCGGCTGAAATTGGCTCGGAGGCTGAAAGGCGACTTCGGATTCAGAGCCAGTAAACGGGGGCGGATCGTCAAAGTCACAATCAGGGTCATCAGATGAATCACCAGATTGACCATATAGAAGAGCCTGTGAATGGCCTCTTGGGCTGACGGTTGCCTCCGGAAGGAGGACGATTTGAAGGACTGTTACCAGAACCCGAGGGTCTTTTCGGAGGGCCCTGTTTGCTGCCAGGATCTCCAGGTCCATTGGGTCTGTTGGGTCTGTTGGGTTGGTTTTCACCGCCAGTCCCTGCGACTGGACAATCATTTGCAATGTCTCGGGCAAACAGCGCATAGTTGTCGGCATTGTGTTTTTGTTTGTTCTCGTCCAGGTTCAAAGATTTCCTTTTATCATATGTTAAATCATCCGCCGCGAAGGTTGTATGAGCCATCTCGTGTACGAATAATTGGGCTAGACTGCTCAGACTCTGTCCACACTCCTGCTGGCCTTGAACCTGAAGTCGGCGACGGGCATTGCCAGCGGTTGCGGGCATCTGAAAGGCCTTGCGGCAGAGCCTTATACTGCCCGTTGTGCCATTCCGGATGGTTGCCGTTGCGGCATACTGCTGGCGTGGCCTGTTCTGCAGAGTGCATTCTTCTCTCGGCGCGCAGGTAATGCTGATGCCTTTGGCTTTGTCCTTGCTACAGCCTCGAGCGATCCTGCGGAAGTTATCCGCAACTTCATCCGAGTTGCTGATGCCAAAGAAGTTGTCCAAAGTCGCGGCCTTTTTTTGTTCATTACCGTCTCGGGACTTCAGACCTTTGGCGGCGCCGGACGCGGCTTCGGCGGCGAGGTTTGAGAGCTTGACGCATTCCTCCAGGGCGGCATCGAGCTCATCCTGCAGACCGTAGCAGCTTTGTGTTTCGCTTGCGCGTTTCTGGAGTTCCAATTCTTGCTCGGGGGACATTGCGCATCCGGTGCCATTGTAAACCCCGTGCTCTGCGACGCTGTCTTGGTCGAGGGTGACGTCCAAGAGAGCCCTCGTGCCGTCTTGTGGAGACGCCGCACGGCCGCCCGTGGACAAGGCCATGGCGGAGGCCTGGGTAAAGGCCATGACAAGTCTGACAGGTTTCATAGTGGAATTGGTTTCAAGATGCCTTTTGTCTTTTGTTATCGTTGAACCTCAGAAGCAAATCGTCATGTGGCATCAGCGTATCCTACGAACATGGAGACACAGACAGGCGGTACTCCCTTATAAGTCAGCGAATTGAGCCGCGCGTGGTGACATATGACTCCCACAAAGCCATCAGATCAAGTTCATTTCGCGAAGCCAAGAACACTCCCTCGATGAGGGGCTTCATTATCAGCCGACGGTGCTTGTAGAGAGCTGTGAGAATCACAAGGGCAAGGCAAGTTGTCGTTCATGCCCGAGGCGGACGAGTATCAAAAGTCAGCGGAACCTCGCACGGAGACGGCTTGATTACGATGAAATAGACGAGTTTTGCATGGTTCAGGTTGCAACGTTGTGCCCGGCCTTTGACAACATACGACCACACGCCTATCTATCTGTAACAATGGAATGAAAAACCCCCACCTCGTACTGAGAATCTAGCCCGATTCCATCTTGATGTTTCAAGTATACACGTCCACGAGTCAAGTTGCCCCCATTGAATGCATAAGGGCAAGGCCAAGGGCTTCTTGATTACGCCAGCTGGAAAGCCGTCTACTGAAACTAAAGGAACCATGTGAAGAGTAGTAGATTTCTAACCCCCCGCCTCGTGTTCATATAGTTCCAAGGACAAGAGAAATACAGTGGTGCAATATCGTTAGGCGTTGAAATGTCAAGTGTAAATGACTGTTGGCAAGAATCCAAGCTGCAGCAAAATACGCAACATTAAAAGGCTTTGTTAGCATTGCTTAACAAATCGATTTGATGGCTTAAAAGCCTAAAACGGAGATACCAAATACCACGGCAAAGTGGACTCGGATTTGTCAACAGCGGCCGACAACTTCAAATCTTGGGCCGTGTTTCGCTATTGCGAACGTGGCCAGAACACCACGCCCATTTCTGGACGTTCAATCAATGCGCATGATGCTCCTTAGCCCCAAACATTAAAACACCCCAGGTAGCCCCCCGTCTCTTACATGTGGTGTAACGATAGATTAGGCTGCGCCTAGTGGGGAATAGAGGATTCTTCAGATAATCATTGACGGCCCGTGGAATACAATGCACCACTGTTGATCCTAATGCTGATCATTGTACGGAGTGCCATGGATACATGAAACACGTAGGCCACATTACAGCGACTGATGTCGGCCCAGCCCGAGCCACTGATGAATGCATGTGATGTCTGGTGGCTTTTGAACCCATCGTCTTGTAACGGCCAAGCAAAGACAACTACAGCACTAACCCTGGCACAACAATCATGCGCATCAAACACGGATGCTCGCTCTCGCTGATCGAATGGCCAGCGGCCGCGTTTTGTGAATCAATTGCGGACGCCGTCTCTATCCGGTCCCGGTCTCCCGGGGTACTCACCTCAGCGACCTCACCGGCAATGTCGACTTACGGAGGGGGTTTGTTGATATAAATGCAAACGGTAGTACGAACCGCGGCTATTTCTGCATGTTTGGCTCGCCTTTATCAACAGCCAGTCTTCAACGAGTAATGTGTGCCGAGCTCAGATATGTGTCCACCGCTCTCCTTGCTTCGACGCAATCTCCAGGTGGGCGGCCGTCTCGTTGCGCAACACACAGTCGGCTAGTTAACAACCCGGATGCCTGTTCCATGACTGGGACTTACGTATGAGCCTAACACCTTGATCAACCAGGTCGTCCTTCTCCAACTCCTCAATACACACTGCAACTAACCAACAGCGTTTCTGGACACAGTCGTGCGGGCCACCTTGCAAAGTATGCATTCCAGTCTTCGTCTTGGACAGCACATCTGCTTGTTCTTCATCTTTTCTTTGGCAGTGTTGCAATGTGCGGCCGCAGTAAATAATCATATGATTCATATCTGACAGTGCGCCTAGGAAGGGGGTGGAAACGGCGCTCCTATATACCGTTCCTTGAATTTTGAAGCTCCTTGACCCCTCAGACGACTAGATTAAGGCTTCTAGTCGCGTGGAAAGGCACACAGGTTGTTAACAGTCTCCGGATCGACGAGTGAATCTGAAAATCCCAATAACTGCGCTATGCCTCCTTCGACGATTTTGCCAAGAGTAAAGCCGAGTCATGGAAGCATTAGATACTTTATGCGATCGAGGGCAAGTCTTTACTTTACCTGGTTGATAAGTATGGAGCAATCACAACCAACCAAGTCAAGTGGGTTGGCTGTTGGACACGCTGAGCTGAACTACTCTTACGGCCGTTTGGTACAGCTTTCTTTTCTGTCTCTTTGCTAGTTGCGACCACTTTAGGACAAGGCGTCGCCACTTTGGGCTCTGTTCTTATGCTACCTGCCTAGTAGGTGAATTTATACCACCATGTTGAAGCTTACTTGGAAGTCCAAGGCCGTAATAGCTGGGATAAACACGGGTAATTACTATCAAGACCGCATAATGTGTTATATTGGATAATCTCATGCTCGCTTTAGAATGGTAAACATCTCGCTTTTGTCGGCTACTATGCTTTTGTCGTCATAGTGGTAAAAAGGGGTGTGGATATTGCGCACATGGTTTTCTGTTATACCCATGGCAATTTACCGGCACTCCTTGTTCGTCGTCCGCTTTGATTGATGGTGTTTCATGACTTAAATAACCGAGTCATTACACACATATACTCCTCTCGAAGCCCATGCCGTATTCTCGCATAAAAGCTACTGCAGTTCGCATAGCCGGGGGGGCTTAGCCTCCACTTGTGTACTTGCCACCAAGAAGCAACTCTCCTAGGTTGCGTTTCATAGCTAATCATTTCCAGCCTCTGTACGATATGGGCGGTGATAGGTGCCTGTCAGGCGGACTTGGTCTGTCGAGGAGTCGATGGTTTCGTAGATAGTTAGAGTCTAACTTTCTCGTGCTTTATAGCTAATATTTCGATTTATTATGTGATCCTTAATTTTAGCAATATCTAGAATTAGATTAGTCCCATAAAGCAGGTCTTAGGCCACAATCTCCGCTTCTAATATGAAGTGGTCGGATCAAGGCGAAGAGGCAGTTTTGGTCTGCCCGTCACAAAAGTCTTTACCGACACAGATTGCATAGTTGTCACAAGTTGAAACAGTTCAATCAGGCGCTTCACATCTCTGTCATCGGCACACTCATCCCACGCGTCAACAACAATGACTATGGAATCATGCGCGCTACTTCGAGTCATTTGCTGGAACGGCTGTAAAAAGAGCTGATCAAATTGGTCATTGATGTTTTTTCGGCATCATCAAGTGGCCTTTTTGCCCACGTCTCTTGAAGAATGCCAGTCATTTTGGAGGCATCCGTCTCATGTTTCACCTGCAGGCCTGCGAGTGCATGGAGGAGCACCAGAGGGAGTCTGTTGAGGACCGTCTTTTGGGCCCATCTCTGATCCGGATGAATCGCACCGAGGTCATACTGAACGAGTATTTCGATGCCCATTCCTGGCTGGCTGACGGCAACATCACCAAGCCGGATGTCCTCCCCATGGCTCGGCCGGGCGACTTCACCACGTATTCCTACTAACAAACCCATCCGTAATGCTGCGATCCAGACTAGGGCATATGACTCCGGGTTTTCCAGCGTTCTCATTGTCGTCGTCAATGGCCGGCCCGTATATAGCGCAGATGGTATGATTGGTTGTTGAAAGACAGAGGCTTTGTATTGTTTGATAATGATTCAGGAATGATGCCTGGAAACAGTCAGCTTGGTAGTGCGGGGTCCATGTGTACATGGTAATCCAGCTACAGACTGACAACATTGCTTCGCGGCCAGACCGGATGGAGAAGTCCTGCGTGTCTTGGTGCGCCGTGGGAGCCTCGTTGGGCATGAAACTTAGGGGGAGACGTTGCAAAGGTCGACTGGTGTGGCAAGAAACGCCAGCACACCAGACGTTGGATGGTAGCACTGCACCGGCCGAACAATTGGATGGATGCCCAATGCTACATACAACCCATCAAGTTGGCAACTTGCAGCAGAGGGGGCTTGGCAACTATTGAAAGCAACATCAAGATGATCACAGAGCGTTTGAGGTTGGGAGCAGGATGTTTAAATGACCTATATAATAGCTATGTTTAAGAAATATAAGGCAGGTTAGACGTCTAAGTAGCCTGGAAAGCATTTGGTGGCAGATACCACAAGTTAATCACGGCCACTACCGCAAGGATTATTCTCCCGCCAACTAATACCGCGAAGAGTAGTCCGACAACTACTTGTGCCCGCCTCCTTTTTCCGTTAAATCCTAGACAGGTTATTCTTGGAAGTATGTTGAGTATAATGATTCCAAGAACAGGCATAATCATGAATAATACAATCGTCACAACTCGCCAGATATAACGAAGGGTATCGTGGCCAAAGGACGAGTTCCATCCTAGGAAGAAGCCCAAGCTAATTAACACGGCGCATACGCGAACAGATAAAACGAAAAGTAAAGAGTCTTTACCCATATCGTTGGCGCAATGTATAGCAGAGTTCGATATGCCAAATCCTGAGCTAGCAGGTGTAACAAGATGGCACAGCCAGCTAGGGAGTATTTGGCGCGGGCCGTGCTCGACCATTTCTCGAAATTGTTTATGGCTTGGGCGTTGCTTTGCGAATATAGTTATGCTCGTCTTCATATTCTTCGGCTCATCCTACTATAGGATATAGGTCACGATTGTGGCAGCTGCCAAGGTGAGGGTGACAATTTCGACTTGCGTAATACAGACGCCAAAGGCAAGCCGTGTCGCCAGCTCAGGTAAAGAGTGACCAATCTAGAAAACGGCAACAGCATTAACAAAGAAGTTGCCGTCGTTCATGTTGTCTATTTTATCAGAGGAAATTTCCGGAAAATCCGAGATGAGCTCCATTTCTCTGGCACATAGGAGCTGTCGACAATCCACGCACCAGATGTCGCCTTGAAGTAAAAGTGTGTTGTTTATCACTGATGTCTGGTTGAAGTAATTCTTCATGACGGTTTGAATAATCCTAATATGCCTTGTCCACCCAGTCTGGCTTTTCTTTTCCTGCGGTTGAGAGTTTTTGGACTCTTTCCTAACATATTCCCTATAATCTTTGGCCATCTGTCGATGTCGGTCATTGGTCACCCAATCGATAGTCCCAACCGCGCGGGGAATATGAATTGCATGACACTCTTCTTTAAGTACTTTCGATATTTGTTTGGGCAAATTCGAGGGGTTTCGAAAGGTTTCCCAAGATATACACCCCGAATCCACCTCGGCAGCTGCTGCAGATTGCTCGCTCGTTTGTTCTCTAGGAGATGATAAACCCCGAGATGGGCTCTGACCCTCATCTTCTGCAGGCAGGGCACCTGCTTTATCTACTATAATAAAACTACTTATACTGCCTAGAAAGCAGCGCTAGCTACCTGTAACCTTGTGGTTAGGTTTTTATCCCGCTCTTACTTATATTATCTCTTTTTAGCATATTACAGCTGTACAGACCCGGCTAAGACAGGTTTTGGATATATACTGCAGTGTTATTTCTATTTACTGTATTAGTACTCTTGATCTATTATATATTCGACAAGGTCATCCTACAGCGTAATAGATATCTGATTGCGGCTACCTCTGACGGGGTGCTCTCATAGCGGACTACATAGCGGGGTATATACTGAGTCTTGGCAGTGCCCCAAATAATAGGTGTCGTCGAGCCTACAGGAACTCTTCGAGTATAATACGTTGATTCAAAGATAATTCTATAAAATATTAAAGGTCCTTGGTTCTTAGAAGAATAGAAGAGATAAATGGCTATTATGTATATATAAACAACAAAGAGATAACTTAGGCTTCTAGAGAGCCTTGTAATTCTATTATATAACCTTTGTGGATATATGCTCTAAATAACCTATCTATATAATACATGGTGTGGAAAAAAGCACACACTACAAAGCATGCCCATGTCGAAAATACAGGCCAGGCAGCTCACTTGTCATCAGTCACAAGCTCTCGTTGAAGCATATCAGCGCATATATCCAGGCCCGCACCAATAGTTCCCATGATATCAAACACATGTGCTCCCTTGAAACTATACGCCCACAACTGCATCACCGCAACAGCCATGCGCTTTACCTTAAGCACACTATCAGTTTCAGAGGCCAACTTGTCGCCGAGTTCAGTCTCACTGATGATGCTCGCAACAATGCCCATTAATCGTTTCTCGTCCTCTTGTATAGTGTCACCCAACGCCATGGCATTCGCTATCGTTTCGAGCCATTTGCCGAGAAACAAGCCGCATTCCAGATTACACAGACTGTGAACGATACTCCAGTGCAAAGTTTGCGTCCTTGCCACAAACTCGATGCCAATTCGGACCGGAATGCTCAGCGAGTGGGCACTTTGAAGCACAGCACGACCTACCAGGGGGCTGCGTTCGAGCAAAGGGGCATTGCGGAAAGCCTGGGCAATGCGCTCGGCATTGCGCGTTTCCAGCCGGCGGCAAGGTCCAAAATCAGCATGCAGCCGAATATAAGCCAGTCGGAAGAGAGCCGTCGAATTGAAACTGAGAGGTCCGCCGGGCGAGGACGGATCAAGAGACGAATCCTTGGTAGCCTCCCAGGTGTGTTGCCATACCCGCAACGCAGAGTCAAACTTGAGCAACAAATCTGGCGGCAATGAGGCGCATTCAATCCCTGACGGCGCAAATGACAACTGTCTAGCCAGAAAGATTTGCTGTACTACGCAGTGGATCAGGACGTAATTGCCAAAGGAAGACAGCCCGTTGCTAGCTGGCGCAGCGGTCTGGTTCCGAAATAGACTCGAATAGCTCTGTTGAACGTTGGTCTCGACGATGGCATCTCTGCTACGGGCCGCCTTCCATTCATCCTCGCTCGCAGCTCTCCAATGGGATTCAGGGCTGGGCACGCTCAGCCGAGCCACATCCGAGTTCATCAACTTGGGGGCAATGTTGTACGCAATATACAGTAGGTTGTTGAAACAAAATGCCACCAGCTTGGCGCGTCGCCTCTCTTCGGCAGCAACCCACTCACGCCAGGTCAAATCAGCGCCAGGCGAGTCTGCTGCTGCCCCAACGCCAACGCCATCTTCCTGGACCAAAAAGGCGAGCTCGCTTGCGATGGAGAAGGCGTCCTTTATGAGTGAGCGTTGGTTCCACGTGCCCAGAGCCATCAGGATGATCATGGCGTGCATTGTCTTGACATTGTCACAGTTAATGTCTGATGTAGATTGGTCAGGGGTTTCTACACTGGATTGGCAGGAACGAGCGTGTGAATATCCGTCCAAGAGTAGCTCAGGCGTGCTGAAAACCGAAATGGGCTTTTCATAGCCATTTCTCCTGAGTATTTGTTCTTCGAGCAGAGCTCTGGCAGAAATATAGAGGTCATGCGACTGCTGACGTTGAAACCGATACCGAGCCCCAGTGGCAGCAATAGCCAGGATGAGCTCGGGCGTTTGAGAGGCGAGCGAAAAGGTGGGATAATGGATAAAGGGCAGATGTTCGTGAAATCCCGAAAAATACCCTTCGACGTAGCGGCGTAATGCGTATCGAGTAGGCATAGTAAAGGTTGCTGGCAAGACGGAACGGTGTTTTTCAATGCTGTTGCATATAATGGAGTAGTCCGCTTTGGATAGCAAACACGGACTACCAGTTCCATCAAGGGTTGACGGGGGCTGAAGGAGGCGCCCACTGGATGTCGTTTTGGTGTTTTCTGGTATAGATCGGGCATAATTCTCCGATGGTTGCCCGGCTGGCTGACGCGGAAGAAAATCAGGCATTCTTACGCCTGACGTGTTCCGTGACTCGTCGTGACGTTTGTTGGAAAACATGGCCGTGTCAAGCTCAGAGATACCGGGCTGTGAAGCGGGAAGCAAATTGATTGGATAGTTTGTCCCAAACGTCGATGGCATAGACAGGGAAGAGGTCGCTGCGATTTCCCTCCAAAGAAGGTCCAAGTCATTGCCATATAATAAGTCCCAAGTCACCGACTTGTCGACGGTGCTGTGGGCTTGGTCACTGCTGCCTCGAGGATGTAGCGTGGCAGCCGAAGGCTGATGATGGACGGACAATGTGGCTTCGTGTTGAGAGTCCAAATGTAAGTAACTGGATGGCAAAGGCATGTCGCTTGTTGAAATATCAGGCGTGTCTGTTGCTGGCATTTGTGTGGATTGCCCGAGTTGAAGATGGTCGGAAACTGCACCATCAGTTGCGAAGCCCACGAGAGGTTCCTCCTGCTGCACCAAATCATGGGAATACTGGCTATCGCGGCCGTCATCGGGTGTCTTGTCGGAGACGGCCCACGTACTGTGAAAAGACATGACTGCATCTCCGTCTTCATTGTTGGCACTCGTTGCAGATTCGTGCTCCCGGTGAGCCAGCCTATTGTGCCTGGTTAAGAGGTCGCTAGTACACACGTTGGTTAGTATGTATGCAAAGTCTACAGTCAACTCAACTCAACTTGCCTTCTAGAAAAGGTGCGTCCACATGCGGAGCACTCGAACGGCTTCTCCTTTGTGTCTTGCATGTATGTATTAGCCTGCATGTGCAACACGGTGAATCAAGAGGAGTAGGCGGCTTACGAGTGCGTTCATGCCGGCGTAGATGCTCTGTGCGCCGGAATGTCTTGTTGCAAAACTTGCAAGGCGGAACATGAATCCGAGGTCTCATTCGTGGAGCAGCAAGATTCGGGGTAATATTGATCTTGGACAAGATTGGGCGTTGGCTTTGGCTTTGGCCTTGGCTCAGAAGATGGCATCTCAGTGTGGAGTAAATTGACTTGTCGGGGTCAAAACAATTCTATATATTGGCGGAGGCCCCGTCTACTTACACTACACGTGATTCAATGATGTCTGGTACATGTACCGGGACAAGTACCGGGATGTCGGGAACTAGCAAAACTGAATTTGTAAGCTAAAAAACCCAATTCGTATTTGTAACACACCAAGTCAAGGCATTCATTCTCCGGCCCCATCGCATCGAATGCTTCTGAACTGTGCTCAAATGGACTGTGCACAAGAACGGGACAATGATGATGTACACGTTGAGTTCTATTTACATCTTTTTATTTTTATTTTTTGAAAACCAACAACACCAAAGTACGAGACCTCCGTCATCCGTCAACCCTCTTTACATTGTCAAAACATTTCGGAATCTCGGCTTCCCAGAAACCAAGCTATCCACTGCCTTTTGCACATCGGAAAAGGGATACTTCTCCACCATACATTTAATGTTGTGTGTCTGCGCAAATCGAATCGCCTCCTCGCTATCCAAGGAATGCCCGCTCGCCCATCCATGAATGCTTTTCCCCCCAAGAATCAAAGCTACGCTGTCAAAGGCAACATTACCGACCGGGGCTAGAGACAGCAGCTTGCCGCCCGCACCTAGACCTCCAACCAGCTTTGATATGACTTCCGGGTTAGGGGCCGTCTGGACAATAAGATCTGCTCCTCCAAGCCGGTTGAGTTCCGCAACTGCGTCGCTTTTCTTGGTGTTGATGTAATGATGGGCGCCGAGTTTCTTAGCAAAGTCAGCTTTATCATCGCTGGAAGATAACGCGACAACTTCATAGCCCATCTTGTCAGCATACTGGATAGCGAGGTGACCAAGACCGCCTAGACCTTGGACAGCTACCAATCCTCCCTGCTCGATATGCATCTTTCGGATGCCATTAAAAACGGTCACCCCGGCGCATAGTAACGGGGCTACCTCGGCTGCATCCAACTCGCGGGGGATGCGGACGACAGCTTCTTGTTCAAGTAGAACGTATTCCGCGAAGCCTCCGTCTCGAGTGTAGCCATTCACCTGTGCGTTGTGGCAAAATTGGTACATCCCTCGCTTGCATAGCTTACACATGGCATCGTGACCACCATGCCAAGGACCTCCTACTCTTTCTCCCTTGTCTAAACCCTGTACGCCTGGGCCGAGCTCGACTACATCGCCCACAATTTCGTGCCCGGGGATTCTGGGAAAAACATCTCCGTACTCTCCGTTGGCAATGCTAACATCTGAGAAGCATACGCCACAGGCCAGAACTTTAACCAGGACCTGGCCCGGCCCTGGATGCTTCAGCTCCATCTCCTGAATCTTGAATGGTCCGTTCGCTTCGTTGAGGACAACGGCTCGGTACGTCTTGGGTAAGGAGGACATTGTGTGGTCCCGAAAAGATTTGACTATCGAATGTGAATGTGTGCCAGGAAGAGGTGACAGTAAATTGCGGATCAAGTACCTGCAGCCGGAGATGAAGATGGCCATTCCGTGGATCAGCTCTATTATATATTCTTTGATGGGGCGATCGTTCCTCCGTTCCGTCTTGGGCTTTCTACCCCAACGGCGAAGCACTAGACAGACACGATTCAGTAGTGGTGACTCTGGTGAGGGTTTGATCCAGCCGTGGCAGGTGGGCACTTTAGCGCATCAATGATATTACAAATCTAAATCTGATTAGCTCTACTACTGATGTCTCCTCACTGCATAAGTCCTGCTAGGCTTTTGCGGTCCAAGTGCGTCGGATTAGACTCTCAAAATGCCCCAAGTCCCGGAATGTGGGAGAACAGCTGCGAAATTTAGCTAATTAATAATACACTACTACGTACTTGAACAATATCAACGCCTTTTGCCACGTGCTCTCCTAAGAACTCGTTTGTCCAACGTCTGCTATTCATGGTGCAGATTTAACTCGCAGTCTAGAACCGGATACTGCATCTCTAAAGGCAAAGTGCCAGGATGTTTCTACCCCACGGCAGAGGTCAATAGAATACTGCTAGATTTTCAGGCCATCTATAAGCAAATCGCACAGCGAAAAAGGCTTAATTGTAATAGCAGCGTTTTCAGGGCTTCAATTAACTCGATTCATGATGCAGGCCTTCGTGGGTCGCATGAAAATGCCTCAAATTTACCATCCTTTATACCTCGTTTTCCCCCTGGAAGCCCCCGTCTGGCTGTACTAGCCCCAAAGAGCAACTATTTAAACCTACACAACTAACCTGGAATTGGCACCTTTTTGACTCAACAAACGCAGTTGCCCATGTCAATCAAATAGTTACCCCGCTGTCATACCATGTTGAGAATTAGGGTACCCAGTATTAGGGCGAAACGATAAAGGACGCATCGTGTCGCTTGTTGATGCCGAGCTGAAGGGCTAAAGTGTACCGAGGCGTTGAGTCCATGCCAAAAACACGACACATGTACAGTGCAGCACAAAACAGTAAATCAACCTCAATACTGTAGATACAGCAGGATTTTTCAAACATGTTAAATGATCTGCCATTTGAGCATGTAGTTGACTCATCTGATTGTGTTTTGAAGGTGACACTCAGATTTGCATTCCACTAGCTACGCTCCACCTGTTGGAACAGTATAAAGTCAATAGCCTCAACTAGATATGTGACGAAGCGGTGAGGATTCTCTGCCGCCGGAAAGTGGCCGAGACCCAGCATCTTTGTGAATTTAGCGCCCCGAATCTTCAAGGCCGTCTTCTCACTTAGCTCTGGGGTAGTACTCCAGTCATATTCGCCCGTCAACATGTACACTGGACACTTGTCGGTATCGATATCCTTGACTCGTGTACGACCATCCCATCCGCCGTAATAAAAGTCCAAATCACCATGGAAGATGCCAAAGGCTTGGGACGAGTAACAATGCCATACCATGTCACGGTTAATACGCGGAGCGGTAGGCGCCATCATCTACGCGTAATTAGTCATTTCCTCTCCTCATGGCAAAGCCCTTCTGTAACGTGCATACTTACTCCGTATATCCATTCTGGGTTGGACAATGACTGGTTCACAGAGACGGAGCGATCCCACCACTGACGATCCATATTCGTAAAGTCGCAGCTGCCCGGATCGGTCAATACACCTTTCAGAGTAATAATAGACATTTCTGCCGGTCACAAAATACGAACCCTTGGCAAGGAATCACACCACCAACATCTAGCTCCTCGGCCCGCAGCGCAATGGCAAGACATACATGGCCTCCCATGCTCGCGCCGCACACAATGGGCTTCTTGAGGCCGAGTGCGCGAATCACCTCCTTTATACAGCCAACATATGTCTCTTCGGTATTGGTATAACACCCAGGAATCTGCGTCTCGGGTGGAAAGCTGCGACCATGCCCAGGCAGGTCGAATGCCGTCATGCGGCATTTTGCCAGCATTCGTGCTTCATTCATGACGCCATGGTACTGCCGCGAATCTGAACCCGCCGTATGGAGGAACAAAATATCCCGATGTTGTTCGCTGCCGCTCTGCTCGTAGAATACCTTTGTCCTGCCCCAGCCCGGAGGCGACACATACACGTACCGGCCAACGATGGCATCTTCAAGACTGGGGGGTGGCACGGGGTCCTCCTGCATGCGACCGTGTAGAGCTTCATGGCTCATCTCCAGAACCCGTCGCCATATCGACGCATAAGCAACAAACATGTTCTGATCCCCCATGATGTCGACCCCATCCTGGTGAATATTCTGGCCGACCATGCCCCAGTAGCTTTGGTAGGGAGCCACAGGAATAGGCTTGTAGAACTGCTCCCATTGCTCCGGAAGAGCGGAGAGGATAAAATTGGCTTCTGCCTCTGATCCTGGTGCGACGGAGACGTGGCCTGGCTTCACGTGGCACACGATGACAGAGTCTGAGCCTGCAGCCTTCCACCCAAAAGCAAACTCTTTAGCTCCAGGTCCCAGGTTACAAAAGGCTTGAAATCGGCTGTCAGTGGCCAAGCTTTCTGTTAGCTTGCAGAGACAACTGCCGAGTTGACTGGGCAGGCTGAGCCAAGGGTGAGGAGACATGGCGAATTCCTCGTTGGCGGCGTAAAGAATCTCGGAATAACGTTGGACGCGGGCAGGAACAAAGTTGGGTGGTGAGTTTACGAATTCCCCCGGTGTTTCTGCTGAGGGGAATCTATTGAGCAATTCTACTGAAAGTGGAGGGCCTCCAATTGTGGAGATCTGGTTCTTCTTTACTCTGATACACCACCTTCATAGAATCCAAACGACGTTGAGTCGACGTCGAGGCAAATGACAAATGATATCAGACCGCTTCAACTTGACTTTCCGATGACTGAGCAATTCGCCCCAACCGCCCCCGCATCAGGGACGAGATGATGCGGGGCAGCGAGGGGCAGCGCAGGCTTCTAGTAGAATCATTGATGGCAGGGGTAAAAGTCCACATGCAGTCTGCATGTGGTCAAGTCTGAATGTACCCCGAATAATACTCCGTTATTACTCACATCTTTTTTCACATTATTTGTGCAGTTGCTGCCGTCCCGGAACACGTTTAACACAAAGTCGGTGACTTTTATGTTATTAGCTGGAGCAGAAATATTAAAAACACTATTACGTGCCGAGATAGAAATTAGCATCGTCATGTTCTGGCACCTTTTTACGCCCGACAGGCCTGCAAAGATGCTTATAAAAAGTAAGAGGAGGATATTACGAATCATCTTGCCGGTTGTAGTGTAGTCTGATAGCTTAAGGATTGAGCAAAACACACTTGACCGTTTATAGAACAGTCTCCAATATTGTCAACACGCCAAGTTAAAATGGCGAGCGGACGCCAACTAAATAAGTATCCGGATTTGTGGCCCCTCGTGAATTAATTCAACAAGACGCACTAGCATGATTCATCAGCTCGAAATCTATTGCCACCGCTCGCTTTTAGTAAGTCGCCGCTTTTTAGGTTCCGTGGATTGTCGTTGAATTCTAGACCAGCGCAAGCAGCAAAGAAGGCAAAGTTGCGCAATTATTGATAAGGAAATATATCTACCCCAACTCTATAAATGTCTTGTACTCCAATACCAGCCACGCACACTGCCTTGTAACTTCCCTGTAGCCCCGAAAAATGTTTACAATGGAAGAAACGTACAGAATTTTTGAGGATAAAGCCCACTTGACATTTATAAGGATAGATGCCTGTTAGGAAGGACATAGCGCCGAGCTACTTGACTCTATAAAGAGGATCCTGTAGTAGTCGCCCCCATATACTGGGCGATTACAAATAACCTCGCTCGTTGATTATTAACTAGTAAATAAACATTATTTTAAAGACGATAAACTTTTTCATATATAATCTCGTGCGTTGGATTTTTCCATTATTAATTGATCCAAACAGCTTCTCGGTTAGTGCATAAGACTTCTTGCCGCACTTCATACACATCATCACGTTATATCCTTCGTGCCTATAGTCGAAATGTCCTCCAAGATTTTTGAGCCGCTACGCATCGGCCGTATTACGTTGAATCACCGAGTGGTCATGGCACCTCTTACGAGGCTCAGAGCGAATGACTCTCACGTCCCCGAACCCATGTCAGCAGAGTATTATGCTCAGCGGGCCTCTGTTCCAGGCACTTTTTTGATTGCCGAAGCTACACTCATATCTGCTCGTGGCGGTGGCGGCAGTCACGCGCCCGGTTTATATACGGACGAGCAAGTTCGAGGATGGAAGCAGATTACCGATGCTGTTCATGCAAAAGGCAGTTATATCTTCTGTCAGCTTGTGGCACTGGGGCGTGCCGCCGATCCGGAAACCTTGAAAAGGGAGACTGGCCTCGAGGTGCGAGCACCGAGCTCAATCGCCATGGAGAATGGCGGCAACACGCCGGAATGTCTGACAGACAATGAGATTTGGAACCTTGTACAAGACTTTGCTTCGGCGGCAAAGAGAGCCATGGAAGCAGGATTCGATGGCGTCGAGATACACGGCGCCAACGGGTACCTAGTCGACCAGTTTCTTCACGAGAACAGCAATGACAGAACAGACCAGTGGGGTGGTAGCATCGCCAAACGGGCCAAGTTTGGACTCGAGGTTGCCAAGGCGGTTGTGCAAGCAGTAGGGCCAGACAGGGTTGGGTTCAGACTGAGTCCGTGGAATACCTGGCAAGGGATGGATGCGACAGACCCAGCACCTCTGTTTTGCTACTTGATTAAACATGTCAAGGAAATCGGGCTGGCATATTTGCACCTTATAGAGTCCAGGGTGCTTAACAACGTTGACTGTGAATCAGCGGGAAATATCATGCCCTTTATGGAGGAATGGGGCTCAGCCAAGCCGGTACTAGTTGCGGGAGGATACAACCAGGATAACTTTGGTCAAGCTTTGGAGCGGGACTATAAGGATTACAATGTCGGCGTTGTTTTTGGGAGGTATTTTCTTGCTAATCCCGATTTGCCTTTCCGCCTTCGGCACGGGATTCCTCTTCAAAAGTATAATCGCAGCACTTTCTACGCTGTAATGGAAAGCAGAGGGTACACAGATTATTCGTTCAGTCCTGAATTTGAACAGAATAGGAGAGATAACGGTAATAGAGCGCCCCTACTTTAGAACATGAGTAGCTAGAATTGAGGTCTTTAAAGAAAGCTTGTTATTATAACCCAACTCTCGTAAGATAAATATTAATACCTGGGAAAGTATCATGTCCATGCGCACTTGATACGACTTTAGAAGCTACTTTGTCAACGTTTCTCTTGATACTCGATCCTATATCTTATATATTAAATATATTATAGAATTAGCAACAGTGTTTGAGCGAGATCCGATGCAAAACGCTGTGCGCGCAACCTTTCCACTAGTCTTACTCAGGCCCCAATATCCAATAAAGACTGTGCTTGGTACATCTTCCCGCTTAATGTTTAAGCTCGCAGTGGAATTGTTCCTAGAATAGACAGTCATATTAGCAAGCTAATTTGATCGCTTCGTACGAGGAGAACTAACCAAGAACCAGTCCTCGGGCTTAGGTCCCGGGCCATATTCGCAGGTTCCGCACTATAACATATCAGTCGTGCGCTCATCTTTGGTAGGGGTAAGTTTCTTACACCTCCATGCTGGTTACAAATGGGAGTCAAATAGAAATATGGCTAAATGTATTAGAGCGCGTCTGCTGAGGGACGGTCGGCTGCTGGTGCCTTGTCAATAACTCACAATGTCATGCTTTACCAAGATTAGCGCTGTGTTCAGTCTTGTCCTTTCAGAGAGCGTCTCTAACTTACGTATTGATCGACAAGCTCATAAGTCTTGCATTCGAGTCTCCCGTTTGCCTATCCCGGTGATCAATTCAGATTCAGCATAGAATGACAGCTTGAACTCACCGCTTGACATTGCACCTTGTAGTTGCCATTGTACTTTTCAGTCAATTCTTGAACGGTCTAAGATGTCAAGGTCAGTATCCTCTCAAGAGCCTGGTTGTCCCAGCCCACATACCGGCGACGCAGACAAAGGGCCTTGTGGCATAGAGGTGGCCAATGCACTAAAGAGAGCAACCACGGAAACAAAGGTCTTCATTTTGATAGTTGGAGGGAATCTCGTCTAGTAATATGAGAGAAGCGTGTTAGAGTTGTTATGTTTTGTGTGCAGGAAAAATATGCCATGCAGATGAAATGTAAGTCCTTTTATAAGTAAAAAGAGTTCAACTGTTATACTCTGTTTAGCTTTGCTTAGAAATTGAAAGCTTCCCTGTTTATAAAAGATTAAAATAATGCCCTATAAGATGACCTGAGTTATTTACTCAATCATGCCACGTAGTACTACGCTACTGTCATTTTTCTTTCGAAATCCATCTTTGCCTGCACCCTTGACGCGGAGATTTATAGTATCGACACTAATATATCCCCTGAAGGAAGTTGAGGCACGCGTGATTTCGGCATAATATGGGATATTAGATCAAATTTAATGCCTGCAAGCTCAGCTATAAGTGACGTAACAATACTCTAGAGGAATCATAAACACGAGACTTTCAATAATACAACATCCCTCCGTCTCGACCAGAAACCGCTATTCATTATAGCTTTCGTGGTAATAGCACAACTTCTTGTTCGGAATTTGCCTTTCAATAGTTAACTAACCAGTGTCCACAGTATGGAAGTCCCCACCGGTTTGGGGTATAAATCCCAGACTTAGGGTATGAATCCCAGTCTTGGGGTATTAGTCTTAGTCTCGGCCTGAGTGGACCTCGGGTTACAGTAATGTCGGGTTTCAGTGATATCGGGTTTCGGTCATCTCGTAGTAAGAGTTCTTCTTCTCGAAATCGCTACTTTTTCTGATAGAATAATTTTGAGTAGCATTGACTCGCTTCGCTCAAGCCTCTTGAATGACTCAAATCCCGCACTATGACCGGGAAGTTGATGCACACAAGCTACGGCCACTCGAAGCGGCAGGTAATAATAACAGGAACTAAATCCGCTAGCACCTGTTGGGTGCATGATCATGACAACAGCCCAAGTTGTCTCAAAGCTATGCCGAATATAACGTAATCAGTTGCCTGTGAGATGCTTGTATCATAGAGTCTGCGGTCGCGAAATTAGACCAAGTCTGTACATATGTACGGGTTATACCTCCAACAATAGAGTTCGTGAAGAAATCAGTCCACCTATGCGTGAGTATCTATGCTAAACACTTGATGCTGTCTCTGCCAAGTCCTAATACCCCTTGCTATTAACTACTCTGGTTGCAATAGCTACAGATCGCGACAGAAAGAAGAGTGAAATTCTCGGAATTGAGGTGAATTAGGTGGGCTATAGAATTGAAGGACATGAACTTCGAACCCGTTGCTAGGTATAAACTCCACTAATCTATAGCAGGGAAAGTTTTAAGGTCAATTCTGTGACCCCGATTCGCGCCTAATTTCAGCGGATCACACGGGCTCCCTTGAGCGATTGAAAACGGTCCATGGGGTGTTTCACTCCTTGCACTATATAACTCATGCCACGAGCCTATTAGAAGACAAGGGTGGAAGCGGAATCTAAAAGAATGGCACGGGGCGTGGCATGAGTCATAGCCTATGACTTGAACGTTTGTACTGGTATAGCCTTTTCTCTCCCCGCAGAGACAAGTCTTGATATCCCAGAATGTATAATGTATTCCCTAAAAGTTTAAACACATTGTAACAATTGTAGGGTCCAGAGCTAATAGAAAAGAGATATTTCAGAAAGAGTATAGATCGTGAGATGCTAAAAAAGTTTATGTTTCCATCTTAGAAGACAGCTATTCTATATATAAACTTATTACTTTGTCGGCTATTGCAATAAACAACCTCTGATACACGTACAGAGAGATCTTGTTCGCCATAATCCCCTGTCTCTAAGCCCCTATTAGCGTTCTCACCAGGTCACGCATAGCTGAACTTACAGGGGGTGACTGTAGCTTTCGCGTGTTCATATTCTCGTTCCTTGACGGAAAAAAAATATATTCGGAGCAACCGAAATACTGAACACAGCTTCGTCACCCACTTGATGATATAGGTCAGGTGTTGTATTATGCTTATGGCATGATAAATTTACATTAAGCATTATGCGTAGTGACCGAAATAGTACGAGTAGCTTCATCTTTGACTCGATAATGCCAAGTGTTACAGTATGCCATGCTCGTGTTATGACAAATTTTGGATATTAGACACTCTTTAAAACGTATATATACTGACGCTCTAATCTTGATTCCTGTACACTCTTTCGTACCATCCACTCCCCAATCTTCCAGTCAGTCTACACTTTCTACTCTACAATATCAATTTTCTCTATATTTACCATCTTCTACCACGCCAACATGAAGCAGGCTATTTTTCTCAGCATTGTCTCCTTGGCTTGCGCGTTGCCCCAGAGCACGCCTGTCACTGGTCAAAAGCTCCTCCCCTGGAAGCAGCCAGCGACTTTGACGGGTTCCATCGATTGTGGATTCAAAGTGAGCGACGAGGAGCAGTGCGGGACTGAGCTCTACTGTAACCTATTTGATAATCAGAAACCGAATAGTAATTACAAGTCGGCCTTCCAATGCTTCCAATCCCACGAGGCAGAGCCCAAGCTTCTCCCCTGGAAGCATGCAGCGACCTTGTTGGGTTTCATGGAGTGTGGATTTAAAGGGGGCGACGAGGAGCAGTGTGGCACTGAGCGTTACTGTAATCTATTCGACACCCAGAAGAGCAGCGATTACAAGTCGGCCTTCCAATGCTTCAAAGCCCACGAGGAAAAGCCCAACCTGCTCCCCTGGAAACAACCAGCGACTCTATTAGGTGCCAAGGATTGTGGATTTAAAGGGGCCGACGAGGAGCAGTGTGGCACTGGGCTCTACTGCGATTTATTCGATAACCAGAAACCGAACAGCGATTACCAGTCGGCTTTCCAATGCTTGCAAGCCCATGAGCCAAGTCCAGTCTAACATGATCAGACTATATCGCACTAATGCTGTCAAGTTACACGGTGCCAGTTTACACAGCAGATACGCGGTTGTGGAAACTCGAGCGGGGAAGTTTGATACACCTTGGTAACAACGCACAACGCGCAACTGGTTGGGCTGCCCTGTCAAGTTGCTTGGACTAGCTGAATCGTGCTTTTGACAGGATAAAGAACAATTTTAGGGGGAAAGGGGGGGAGGTGGAATATAAAATTGTGTGGAGACTACTATCTAATAGTTGTAGTCTTTAGACGAATAGAAAATGATGTGGTCAATCTCGGCTTCAAAGTGTCTTGTTTAAAAGAGTTTGGAGTGATTATTGTAGCCCAAAAACCCTCTCTTTTAGTCTTCAAATAAAGGTGTGGCAGCTACAGTTGCGATATACTTGGGTATTACCGGAGCGGCAATAGTGTCAAGAATACTATACTTTGTATTGACGGGGATTAAGATACATTTGCAGTTGAACTTATGTCCATAACACTCGAATAAGAAACACTTCCAAAGTCCAACATCCATATGTTTCCATTTTTGATAGGAGCGTAACACCCGCAAATTCAGCTTTCCGCGGCCCCGTTGAGCTTTGCCGAGACTCAATGGTGCCGACAGAAACCATCGAACAGCTGTAGCAGCGCGCTACTCCATGGCGGATATACCAACCTCCTAGTTTAGGGATAAAGGTACCCATCACGTCTTGGGGAAAGAATGGTCGTAGGACAGTAAGCTTTTGCACGAAGAACACGGCACTAACCCCGACTATACCGCAGCCCAGAGAATGACCACCTGTACCCCACGGTAACATACGTCGTGAATGACCGGACCTTTGTAAACCAGAGAGCCTAACATGAATAATAGCGTGGCGTAGCAGGTGCCTACAACTACATGAGCTACGACGCTTAATAAGCTCTCTGGTAGTGTATCTAAAGAAGAAGAAGAAACAGGACAAGGGGAGAACGTAAGGATCTATCGAAAGCTGCCAGCTAGAGTTTGATCTAGCCAAGTTCGGCCATGGAATTCTTTGCTACTACATGAACCACATACCATGAGCGTTGTTAATAAGCAAAAATCGCTTTATTACTGAGCAATGCTACATGCCGCCATGAGTCAAGACAAGGACTTGTTTGGGTACAATTGCGTAGTTCTTATAGCCCCTGCATGGTGGCGCAACCTTTTTCTTCATCCACGAGGGTAGAGAGTCGATCACTCACTTTGCCTAATTCATGCAGCGCCATCCAAGTAGTGCGCCTGTGGACGTGAGCAGAAAGACGGTAGTTGGGGCAAATCCAATGACAAGGGTTGAAAACGCCAAGATGATGCTTGACTTGACATAGTCTTGTGTCAATGGTTTGGAAGGGAGTGGCGTCAAGTTCAGGGGTGTTTCTACCCCAAAATCCACCTACCGCCGGTTTTGAACCAACATTGAATTGACTCCAAGCCATCGTGCCCCGTCTCTTAAATACGGAGTACCGCTCCGGCTTTTAGTCCGTGAGGGGCGCGGAGAATACGGACACTAACTCCGAGGGCCATAGCTCCGGGGGGGGCGAGGGGGTGTCTCTATTGCTACATATGTAGCTTCGAGCAGATGCCATGGTCGTCGGTTTTGAAGGGGTTCGATGCAGGACCGCAAACCCGACCTCGACGCCACGTAGGATATTATCTTCCATATGAGCACAATTTTGTGTAAAGCCACGACTTAATTCATGAAGCTCGCTGCTTGCACATAGTCCGTCAAGGGCAGAAATGCGGCTTGTTACACGATACGTCTGTGATTTTGATGCATACAGCCTGGAACTTTTGTACGCAAACCAGATGAGACACGATAAGATGTGCTAATTTACTGTGCTACCACGAAGCACTCGGTATTTCGCCACTTGTAGTCTAATATATCAGCAACCCCATATGCTGTTTCGATGCCATCGTAAATCTCCACCACGTATAGGCTGGCGTCCAAGCCACAAGACACGCCGCCGCTGCTAATAATCCTTGTCCCGTACTCATTCGAGCCTGCGTCGACGTAGCGCGCTTGCATGACCCCCCCGGCAACATCTTGTCCTGCAGCTGCATCCATGTTGACCTTTTGCAAACTCCTATAGGCCCCGCGATGCGTAGTACACTTTCGGCCGTTGAAGATGCCCATGTACCCCAAGAAGAGGGCACCAGTGCAAATGGACCTTGAATCTGTGAGCAATTTCGGCAGAATAAAGAATGGAAGCTGCTTACAGCAAAGTTTTGGGCACTGTATTGTCTTTGGGTGCAAGTTCATTAAACGCGGCAATAAGTTTCATAAAGTCACCCATTTTCGCGGCGTGTAATTCGACAAGATGTGTTGGGCCGCCAGGAACAACCAAGACGTCAAAATCGCCAAGCAAACCAAGAAGATTGTGGTCCAAGGCAATGTCTCTCTAGCAAGAATAATCAGCAAAGCTGGGACGCGGAATCAACTATTTGCTGGCGGGAATCACCTTGACTTGAACACCCTCAAACGATCTAGTAACTTCTATCTCTGCAGTAATCGTCACTGTGAATGCATTTCGATTGTCAGCCATGCGAAAGACCTCATAGGGGCCATTCATATCCATAGTGTTGAACCCCTCGAATAAGACCACGAGCACCCTTTTTGGTTCCATGCTGGGTTTAGTCTTTTTTCTCTTTACTAACAATAAGAAAAATTGAATTGACTTTGCCAAGTCCAGGATGCTTTTGTACGAAAAGTAAGACCTAGGCTAGCGGAGAGCGCGATTATTTATCTTTTTAAACTTGACACCTCGAATCATGTCAACTCCGAGGACAAGATTTGATCCAGTTCATCTGTTTACAAGCCTGACTCGGACAGATCCTTCTACAAGAATGGTGCCGCAATAACACGCACATTCGATCAGCCACAACGCAGCTGCATAGCACGCGTGGACCCCGCGGAGGTGTTTGAATGTTAAAGCACAAGGAGCTTTAGAGGGTCTTGATTTCTTAAGTCGTGGTGTATTTCCCGATGCGAAACGAAAGCCGAGGAGCGGGGGTAAGCTAAAAAAAAGCACTAAAAAAAGAGCAAGGGTCAAGTTTATTAAGCGGGGCGCGCAGCTTAATCTAGACTAGTAACATTGAACCGTGACTGTTACGTTGCCCGACGAGCCGCCGCAACCAGACCAGGCTCCACTCAAAACTTGAAGGCCCCGGCGGGCCGATTAACAGGCTGCATGCATGTGGAGGGATTCGCAAAATTGTCCGTGGCCATGGGATTAATACCCCAACCTAATGAGGAAGTGTGTCATGTAGCCATCCTCTCTCTACTCTGCCTGAGTCAGCTCTCTCACGAAGAGAAATCCCGGCTCGATTCAGCCCACACGGACCACGTACCCCAGTTAGAAAACCATGAATAATGCACATGCAAAAAGGCTTGAACATTGTGACCCTGCGTCATCCATCCTCTTGATACAGTTTTCGTTCTGCTCCGTGTATTCTCACATGATCAACTCTCGCCGCCATGGCAGCAGAAGCAGATATGAAAGTCCCCTCGGATCATTCCGCCATGGTGTACGATGAACCCGGCAGCGTTTCGCTGCAGAGGCGAATCGTGAAAACGCCCATGCCAGGACATGGACAGGTCTTGATTCGCATGTAGGTGGGACTGGGACCGTGTCTTAGGAACAATATCTGGCTAAGCAGTGTTTAGCACACATTCAGGAATATGTCATTCCGACCACGGCGTCATGACACACGCTGTACGTTGTAACCTGTGCGAAATTTTACTCGTGTGCTTACATTGACACTCATAGTGGAAATGGTTGGCCCGGCGGATAGAGCCGGGGCAGGTCGGCGGTCACGAGGGAGTAGGGAATATTGTCAAGCTGGGCTCGGCAACGGAAGCCAGTGGATTGCGACTGGGAGACCGTAAGCCTCTTCTCTTTCCCTCAGTACTAGCGATATATGCCAGCATCAATGTTGATGTGTCCAGATGTCGGTGTCAAATGGGTTTCTGAAGCTTGCCTCTCTTGTCCTCCGTGTCTTGAAGGAGCCGACGGCTGCTGCGTCAACATCAAAATCTCGGGATATTACACCCCCGGCACATTTCAGCAGTACACGTTGGCACCTGCATATTATGTTACTCCCATTCCCGACAGCGTGCCATCGGCAGTTGCAGCACCCCTGCTTTGCGGCGGGTTGACAGCGCTGGCAGCCATCAAAAAGGCAAAGGCATCACCAGGGAGCTGGGTACTGGTGGCTGGTGCTGGGGGAGGTGTTGGCCATCTAGTATGTCAGATTGCGTCTCGGGCATTTAGTCTACGCGTAATAGGCATTGACAGAGTCATGAAAAAGGTCATGATCCATGATTGTGGCGTGGAAGAGTTCCTTGCGCTTGAAGACTACTCCATGGGGCTACAACGGCAATATGAAGTCGTTCAGACTGTCAGAAAGCTGACCGATAGCCTCGGCGTCGCAGCGGCTGTGGTTTGTACGGGAGAGGCTTCGGCCTATAGCTGGGGTTTCGAATGCCTTCGGTTCAACGGGACCCTAGTCGTCGTTGGTGTTCAGGAAGGCGATGAAACTCCCATTTGCTCGGCATCCCCAAATGCATTTTTATTCCACCAGAGACGCATAGTAGGCTCCTCGGTCGGTAATCGGCTAGACGCCATCGAGTTCATGAAATTGGCGGCGCGAGGCATCGTGAAACCACACTTTACTCTACGGTCACTGGAAGAGCTGAGTGACATCTTTGAGGAAATGGAACGGGGAGAGTTATTGGGCAAGGTTGTTGTTGAAGTGCTCTGAATAGCGCACGGCGCAACAAGTCAACAGAAAGAAGTAGAAGTGTCGTATCTTTGAAATAAACACCTTTGTTGGTACTGATAAAGAATCGTCCAATTTCATATGTTGAGTCAAGGTTCCCCATTTGAAACATTTTACTCCTCTGGTCCTATTCTTGCCTGATGCCTAAAATTCTACCCAACACAATTCATTGTACGTAGTGGGAGTTATCCCAGATTCGAAGCAAACAATCCCTTCTCCTTCAAACTGCCAACCAGGCGGCATGCAGCCCGAACAGCAAGTTTGGCCACGCCATCACCACCTTCCAGTCGAGGGTTGAAGGAGCAAATAACCAGGGATGTGGGATCAGTCTCGGTCGGAATGATCTTCATCAGCCCCATCAAATCCTCTGGCATGAATCCTCCAGGAGAAGGAAACTCATTCACCCGGCCGAGAGACTCGTCCAAGACATCCAAGTCTAAATGAATGTGTGTTTTGCCAAGGTTTCTGCGCTTTAGAACGGCAGACAATTCCGATTCGAAATTTACCTTTCTCCCGGCATCCCCCCAGACCACATCAACTCCGGCCGATTGAATGGTTCGCCTTTGCGTGTCGGAAACATCTCGCAGACCACAGTAGACAATGTTCTTCACGTCCATGGGTGCATGACCAGGGACAGTCTTCATCAAAGCATGCCAACTTGTGCCAGTCAACATGGATGCGGCCATGGCATCCAAGTATCCATTTTCATGGGTTGAAGGTGTATCAAGGTCGTCGTGAGCATCAAGCCATAGAGCAGCTAGGGACGGTACGAATTTGTTCAAGCCGGCTACAACAGCCGTGCTTGCGTAGCAGTTTCCAGAGAGTACCAACGGAAACGAGTCGTTCTCTGCCGCTTGCGAAACCGCTTTTGAGATTCGGCGGATAATCTCGAATGTCCTGCCAATCTCGCCTTCGAATTCGTCAACAGGGCCAATATTGATGAAAGACACGGGTGCGAGCTTCTCGAGCTCCCTGTCTATGCCGTGGGCTAGAATGCGAAGCGGTCCGCCCCCAACACGATGATCATAAATGCCTACATGGTAGGGAGCAACGATGATGGTAATTGAAGTATAGGGCATGGTTGCTGGTGTGTTTGATGGATGTAGGATGGGAGGAAAACGAGGCAAATAATGGCGCTCTGAGATGGTCGTGTTGCTGTGGCCTATATGTAAGTTGGCTCAGTTGGGGTAAATTGCCCGGGTTGGCCCTACATATGTACATGTATGGTATGTAACATTGAAGCTGCTTGTGCTGCCCAGCCCCAGCATGAAATTATCTGGGCCCTCTTCGGACTTTATTTCGCCGCATCCACTCGAACACTCAAACTTGCGGGTAGAAGAAAGTCTAACTTGACCCCGCCTTCACTCACATGCGGCCAGGAGAGCAGGCAGCATACGATGGAGATGCTGCTTGGTATTTATATTCGTTTCGCTTGCAGGCGTCTCCATCATTTGAAGGCGGTTTCCAGTTTCCAGAGACAAAGGGTAGAAACCCAGCACGGTAGATGATGGCGCAAGTATTATACAACGCTTGGAATACGTCAAATGATGAAATCACTCATATTTATTCCTGCTAGCGTAATCTCTGTGGTAGACATGCAATTATGACGAAAAAGCAATGTCAAGTCCCTTGTGCCGACGGCTCTTATGAGGGCTTGGAGCATTTCACTCAATTCGCCTAGTAACGGTATTTGGTATCAAAGGTTCTTGGTTCTCCTCAAGGCCTGACTGACCAAGGACCTTTTTGAAATCAAAAAGTTAGTGGGTGACTTTATCCTAGGTCTCTTTCATAGCATTATTTCCACATTAATAGGACAAGTACGCGCATGATGACCCCCTAACCTCCCAGCCAACTCCGGCTAGAAATTACCTGGCTGCTTTTGTCACCACCAATAACTATGGGCCCCTTGGCAGCCCCACCTACAACATTTCCGCCTTGCCAATCGGATAGTTGCCTCGCTTCCCTGCTGTCTGCCCCTAAACTTGAAATGGGCTCGCACCGACCCCTCGCACCTTGCACCTCGCACTTCGGGCACTCGGGACTCGGAATTCTGTTTTCTGCGTTCCAGGTACTGAAAGCCATCAAATCCATTATGCTTGTTGGGCCCAAATCCCGATGCCGTACTCTAGATGTCCGTAATAGTAAGCGTTATAGTCTTGGTTCTTCGGGTTACCGCCCGTCATAGCAGAAATATTGACATGTCTGGTAGCAAATAAAACACCGAGCTGCTTGGGTAAGTACCTAGGTACACACACGCACGACTTGAGCCGTTGACAAATTGACAGCTCTTAAAAAGCCCTTAAAAATCTGACACATGATATACGGAGTAATCAACTGCAATTAAATCGCTAATAAATTGGTGATAGTTGATATGTACCAAAACATCCCTTCACCCTCTGGGTAGGTACCTACATACTTACCTAGGTACTTTAAGTAGATGCTCGAGTACTTGGGCAGTAATCAGACCGTGGATAGGCGCAAACAACACGGCCAGGCCAGGCCTTTCCGTGTCGATCATTGCATTACATATATGTCGCGCCTTTACACAGCGAAAGGGATACAGGGCATGCAAAGTTCACATCTCCCCAAAGGGGACAAATCGAGAGGTTAAGCGGACGATGTACACGGCGGCGTTTTTCACCACCTGTGCCGTTGCTGGGGCTCGGTTCTGCACGCTGATGCGCCCACCGAAGATATCGATATCCCCGTTGCAATCCGCCTGCGAATCAATCATTTGTGGAATAAAACGAAGTGACGAATGAGTCTCTATAAGGGCCATAGCGACGTCTGTGGATTGAGCACACGCCTGTTCTTAAAAAAAAACACGGAGGGAGTTAGTCTTGGAACATTTTTCTAGTGCAAGCAGACAAACATGGTATTGATTGGTGACGTGAACCTACTTGACCAGACATCGACTACACACGCATTGCCTAGGCTACGCCACTTCAGCCGACCAAGAAGCTCTGTCACGGCGTCATCGACGTCGCCGACGCATTGTGGATACGCCAACCACTGGCGCTGGAGCTTTGTCTCCATACAGGCTGATGGAAAAGTCTGAGAAGCAGGAAACGCAGCCAAGTAGCCGGTTTGATTCTGCCCGTAATGTCTCTGCGTGGCATCCGCCATGTGCAGAGCAGCCGGTGCCGCCGTCTCGGCAAGAAACATGGCAGCATCCAGGTAGGCGAGATTATAATAATGTGAGCATCCGAGGGTTCGAATTCAGCTGTGTCTGTATATATGAGTCCGCGCGTGTGTCTCTCCCACCGCAAATAAACCTACCTGAATAGCGAGCTGCTGAATGAAATCGGCTGGCTCAGCTACCGGCGTCAGCATTCCGATCGCCAAGCTCCATCTAGGCCCATCAGAATCGCTAGAGCTAGAAGGGCTACCGTCACGATGTCAATGCCTTGACAGAATTGCCGGGATCGTCGTCCAAGGCCCCCGGCTGGCTTGAGCTTGACATGACGGCGACTAGAACAGGTACCGCGAGATATATGTAGGTTTGGAGCGCCAAGAAGCTAAGTTTGAATGTTCTTTTTGAGACTGTTAGGCAATCATTCACCTTCGCGTGCAACTTCAGCAAATACATAGCAGAAATTCTTTTCGGCACAGAACTAGTATATGGTATATTAATGAGTACACAACATCATCACTCAACAAGGTGTTGAGTCACAGTCTGCACTTGTCTACTCGATTCCCATGTTGGTACAAGCCCGACATAAGTCCTTTATTGTATTCCCACATTCAAGGCTGCCCAGAGCTGTACTTTGGTAAGAATACCTCAGACCCGCACTGGAAACTCATCCGTATCTGTTGGCGTGCAAAGCCGCTGACGTAGATGGTACCATCAGCATCGGCTATAGAGCGAACCTCTTACAGCGGTTGTGGTGTTTGCATAGTCCCACGATCGCGGAATTTGCACAACAGCCGAGGTAATCTACCGAAGTCCACAGCACTAGAGGCGGCTGACGGCCAGAACGAGAACCTTCGTGCAATAGTACCCTGCGGGTCGTTCTCTTGTTGGATAGCAGGCTGAAAGCAGCTCGCAGATAAATGTTAACCAGGGACGGTAAGAGTAAGTACATGTCCGGTTTAATATACAAGCGATTTACTTTGCAGTTAAGTCGTTACGAGGCTTTTTTCCCAGTCAAGAACCCAATATTGCGCTGCCATGAAGACTCCCCGTCCAAGCGGGAGTGATTTGCAATTCCGTATAGCTGTACACTGCCGTTGCAGTGCATCAATGTTTGCTAACGCAGACCTGTCGACCAGTGGTACCTTTGACATGGCCTGGGAGCTTTTGTGCTGCTCCAACTCCTCGGTTGTTTCTGGTCTGGTACTTGACTACATGTCCCTGGGCAGTAACAGATGTACCGACATGGAGTCAGTCACAGGCCAGAAATGAGAGAAATGACACGAGACCTGAGACTGCATGAATGATACGCAATCCGTCCTATCGTATGGCCACAGCCCTCCCACAACATCACACTTTTCAGGTCCTGTTCTATCATCCTTGATCGACTGCTCCTAACCATTAAACTCCGTACGGAGTAGAGCTGCAAATATCCGCTTTCTGGAACGGTGGCATTGGGGGCAACCCGCCCCCATTGCACGTTGGACCCCGTTGGTAAGCCAGGGTGGTGTCAGACTGATCCTGTTGGATGATGTTCATTGTTGGTTCTTGAATCTATTACAACCAACCCAAATGCCAAGAAATTTGCGGGCGGGGAATCAGCGAGCATGCAGGGACGTCTTGACCCATGTAGTACTGTCCACGTTACAATAGAAGCTATACGCATCTTCTACAGCCTCTCGGAACCACTCTCCTACTTCAAACAACCAATCAGTAAGACCAGGCATCATCAAAAATTAAAACGAAGTGGGAGCAGATTTTCAGTGGAGAGTCAGCAATAATATTTGAGTACAAATAGCATCTGGGAGATGTCTGGCCAGGAGCTCCATGTTTCTCCTGCAAGTTGTCGGAACTATCCTCCCGCAACCGCGCGGCTCAAACTACGAAACAGCTGTCACGGCTGCGCATTGTCCAGACTCAGATGCTCTCAAGACAAGCCGACTTAGAAAGCCCAACAGGCAATCAAATGGCAGTCAATCACATCCCTCAGGCCCAAAACTCAGAGTGCTTTCGAGTACTGATCCCGACGCACATTTACCATCGCTGCCGGATTGTTTTGGTTCTGCCCCGGCGTCAAACGCGAGCATCGACCCTCTGCCTTCACCGGGGACTCTTCATCACTCTTCTAGTAAGGCAGGCTTTTCTGAAACCCCTTCAAACGCCATACAAGACTTATTCGGATCCGGTACAATGGATCCAATTCCGACATTGACAGTGCCTACCACAACTACTACACAAATTGACTTTGGGGACTACCTTTCTACTACGCCTCTATTATTTTCTGAGGAAATGACCACCCTGGATTGCCATTGAGGCGCCAAAATATTCTCCACGGGCATTGATAACAGCAATAATAGCTCACAGGGAGGTCATTTGGACTCATTATCATCGTATAGAGATGCCGTGTCCGAACTGTTTTCTGTTTCTACACCAAGTGCTATGAATCATAATTTCCATATCCAGGCCGCGAATCCATAATTCCATGGTTTCTGGGACGGTGCCCGGAGGAGGTACCATCATATCCATGATGAGAAGCTTTGGACCATCCCGAATGCTAGGTAACAAGGGCTCGATAACTCGCTTAGCGTTGGCATCAGACCAATTATGTAGAATGGGACGCAAGAAGAAGGTCTTGGTCTTACACACAGCGGCGTTTTCGACATGACGCGGCTGGAAAAAGTCGCTTTCCACAAGCCGGATTCTGTCTTGTAGTTCCACTGGCACAGTGGACTTTGCCTCAGCAATGCTCTTGGCCTGATCTTCGACGATGATGTTCAATTGTGGGAAAGTTTTGGCCATGGTAACGGCAACATGGCCGGTTCCGCCCCCAATGTCGACAAGAGTGTCGACCTCTTGACACTTGTACGTCAGCGGGACAAACTTGACGTCGGTAGCGCGTTCCAGACGTGCAAACTCCAACATGTTATGGAGCCTTGCCATTTGTACCACGTTGACTGTCTGCGCAAGATATACATACCGTGGGAGCTCAGTGTAGCGGTCAATATTGAAGGGTGCCTGGTTTGGCTCCCTGGCCTCTGGCCATTTCTTGTGAGCCTAACCTACCTTTGTGGAGAAGTGGAACGAGTCAAGTCCTCGGTGAGAAACTTGAGCTGGCCTAGAAGAACCTTTTGTGTGACCATGTAAGCTGAATATAAGGTATGCGCAACATGCTCTGGCTCTGGCTCTGGCTCGTGGAAAAATCACCCCGACTTATGAATCGGGCAGTAGGAATGAATGCCAGGCCGGGACGAAGCACAAAAGAAGAGTCGATGCGTTGGTGGAGCTGGTTGCCGCTTGTCTCGGGGAATTTCGCCCCCGACCTCCAATATGTCAATATCACGCAGTGTTAGACTGATGCCGTAATTCGACGTCGGAACGATTTCAATGGCGAGTAATAGTATCCTCAGTTTCGCTGCAGCTTAGAAGCAAAGGTGACATTTCGCTCTCATTCCAAGATTTCTGGCTTACACGGCCGAGGTCCGTCCCGCGTCCATTTGCCGGTACAGTTCGCAGACGCAAGCATACGCATGTCAATTCTATTTTAGGGAAGATACAAAGTGATGATGTAGAGAAACTGCTGAATAAAATGTATTCAATTCACATATGCTCTTGAGCCCATTCGGTAGTGAATGCCCAAGTAGTCAAGTCCGGCCAAAGCCTTACTGGCCTCCTGCTATTCTCCCCTCGGAGCAAATCTGCAGTGTGTTCCCTGTGGCAACTTGGGTGCGAGATGATCCAGCCCATGAGTTGGTTGCTTGAACACAGCAGTCGGGATTCCATTTTCATCGCAACCAGTCCACTTGTACAGCGCTACGGCATATGCTATGATGATGTTCTGCTGGAGCTTAGCCCATCGCATCCCGACGCAAGGGTGACGACCTGCGCCCCAACCCATGACTAAGGTTAATTACCAGACACGCAGGTCAGTACTAACTCAGCGCTGAATAAGGGGTGGACGATAGTCACTCACAGCCGTAAGCTTCCTGGTCAGATTCCATCCGGCCCTCGCTCCAACGCTCGGCGTCCCATTTCATAGCATTGGGGTACAGCTTCTCATTGTAATGCGCGTCTATAGTATTATAGCAGGTGAAGCTACCCGGAGGAATAACTTGATTGCTTCCAGGAATGGAAATAGCATCGGGTGTGTCGTTGAAGCGGCCCATGGGAAAAGCAACACACATGCGAATAGCCTCTTTGTAGCAAAGTTCAAGCGATTCAGACATTTTTTCCCAGGCTTCAATCGGAAGTTGATCAAGCTGATCAACAAGAGGCAGCTTCCTGGTCTTATCAGTCGCATAAATGGCTGCCGAGCTCTTGATCTCATTGTAGATTTTACCCTGCCAGTCCTGGTGGTGGGCAATAATGTTCAACATGGAGCCAGAAACTACCCCGGTGTTGGCACCAGCAATAAAAAGCATACCAAGAACGTGCTGATGTAATCCTGGCTATCTCCAGCATCGATCAAATACTTCAACGCATCATCGCCACCGGCAGCGCCCTTAGCCATGCGTCTATTTACGATGGGTTCCACAATCTTCTGTAGCCCTCGACGGCCATAACGACGTTTCCAGTAACCAGGGCTAAGATAAGATAGACCCGGAAATGCAAGAAGATGTAAAGTATTGGTGAACTGGAGAATCTGAGTATACAAGAAAAGAGAATGAAGCAGTTCAGGGTTGTCGGCAATCTCGTCAGTGGCAACGATACGGCTTCCTTGGATGATTACGATACGAAAGCAAGTCTTTGATGGATTGATGACGGAGGATTCATTCATCTTCATAGCCTCAAATGCTGTGCGGGCGTCTCTTGTAACTTTAGGCAGACGCTTGGCAAGCAGGTCCGACCTCTGCAGCTCAAGAAGCCGTCGTTGCGCATATGTTCGTCCACTAGGGCCGGTACCCTTCCAAATCTCGTGGATCACTGTTGAGCGTCCGTTGATAAAGTCTGGCCCGTGACCAATAACGGCGATTCCTTTGATGAGATGGAGCCGTCGGTCTTCGAGATACATCTTTCGCGCTGCTTCGCCAGACAAGCCGATAACGTGGTTCTGGCCAAGCCAAAAACTAAATGTACCCGTCTTTGATTTGGCCACAGCGCCTCTCCAGAAGCTCCTGACATTTTTCTATTAGCATTACCGGCTCTTGTAACCCGTGAGAATGAGCCGGGAATTTTTTTATTTTTTTTTAAAAAAAAGGGTTAGCTCACATCTTCTTGGTGAAAAAGCTCCATGAGCCAATAAAAGGCACAGTATCAGTTATAAATTCTGGCGCGCCAACGACTTTAGGTGTGTACGACAAATATACCACAAGTGTGATAAAAGCGATTGTAAAAGTAGTTAGGACTGCTGGTATCGGCTCAATATCTTCCAGGCTGAAGCCTATCCATAGCATTGTTTTTGACATTGTGGAGTGGGAAGCGAGATTTGAAGGGTCGGTGCTGGTTAAAGCAGCGCAAAAAGCAGAGCTACTTTTGTCAATAAGAAGAAGCCATCAGCGACAGCAGGTCAAATTGGCTCTTGGTGCGCAAAGATGATCACACCGTAAAAAGTTATCCTGCCCTGTCTCGGGTAGGACAAAAGGAGTGATAGCGATGTGATCGGGAATAGTTTAAAACGAAGCTCCTGCCTACGACCCGACGCCGCAACCCACAAACCAGGAAACCCAAAACAGGCCGACGGCGGGAGATGGCAGGAATCGGGAAGTATGCGGCTGAGCTGGGCTCCCAGAAAATGAGTGCGATGCCGATGTCACCCTACGGAGGGATGCAGTAGCAATGAAAAGCAACGTGCAAGCGACATGCCACTTGGCCAAGGGTTCATTTGCAACAACAGAACGCTAAGTCTCTTCATGTAAAGTTGTCCAACCAGATGTCTCTGTCCAAGTCAAACCGTGTCTACGTCTTTGGCGACCAGACCTTCAACTATGAGCATTCATTGGCTCAACTACTTGGTTGCCACAACACCTTCTTGACTTTGTTTACCCGCAAATGCTATTCTGCTATCCGAACAGAGCTCGGCCGTCTGCCGTTACACACTCGCGATACGACTGCCAAGTTCTCTAGCGTCGCTAACCTGCTCATGAGGAAGCGGGATGGCTGGCTCAGTCCAGCGTTGGAGCAGGACTTGTGTCTTGTTCACACTTTGGCGGCATTTATATGGTTGGCAATTTCAGTATATGTCAAGCTATTCCGTCAAGCTAACTGTAGGCAGGCAACACTCTGAGCGCAAATTATCCTTCCCCACGCCCCAGCATAGCGTCTTGTTGGGCTTCTGTACTGGATCCCTTGCAGCCGCTGCCGTCAGTTCTTCTCAGGATCTCGTCAGTTTCATCCCTGCCGCCGTGCATGCCGTGGTGGTTGCATTGTATACAGGTCTGAGAGCCGCATAAGAGGCCCAATCTATTCATGGCAACGCCTCATCGCCATGGTCCTTGCTGGTGCTTGGCGTATCCGGAGACCAAATTACCACCATCCTTGAAAGCTTCAAGTCCCGGAACGTGCGTATTTTTTACCCAGGTTCCAATTGAGAACCAAAACAGACTCCTAGTCATTCGCACCATCTTGCCATGCATACATCAGCGCTTTCGGAACGGTTGGTGTGACACTCAGGCAGGTGATACAAAAGAAATGAACTCTGTGTGCGACGTCTTGGCCCCCATGGACAAACTTCACAAGCGACCTTCCGATTAGCCTCTCCATCTTGGAGCCTTAAAGTCCAACATTGGGCATGGTGGATCTGTCTCTGGCGTGAGCGTGCTTATCAAAATCGTCATGATGATGAGGAAGGGACAGTTCCCTCCTCATTGTGGTATCAGGACTCGCATCAATTCGGCCTTCCCAAACAATCTTACACAGCGCAACGTTCACATCGATTTTGAGACGATTTCTTGGCCACGCTCCCGTGGTATGCCAAGAAAGGCAATCATCAATAATTTCAGCGCCGCAGGTGGAAACACCTCCATCTTAGTTGAGGAGCCCATGAACTTGGCTCCATCAACCACGGCCGCACAATGCAAGACTCGGCCAACTTACCCAGTGGCCCTCTCGGCGAAATGTGCAAAGTCTCTAAGAAGGAACATCCAGTCATTGGTTGCCCATCTCTCGGATTCAGAAGTTGCCCTTCCCGAATTGTCCTATGCCACTACCGCCCGCCGCATTGCTCACGGGCACCGTGTCGTCGTGGCTTCCAACAGCATTGCGAGTATCAAATCCCAACTAGCAGATGCCCTGGATGGCGATGTGGGCAGCAAGCGCGTAATTCCACCAAGGCAAATGCTTTTTGCATTTACCGGACAAGGATCACAGTATCCAGGCATGGGAAAGCAGCTCCTAGAATCATTAGACGCGTTTCGGGACCAAATTATTCGATTCGATCAGCTGTCTCGGCGTTTAGGGTTCCTCGAGATCCTTCTCCTTTTCAATGCGAGCAGCGGAGACAACATCTCCAATTACCCTCCGGTTGTCGTTCAGCTTGCCAATACTTGCATGCAAATCGCGCTTGCCCGTATATGGATGTCTTGGGGAATCACCCCAACCGCTGTTGTTGGCCACAGCCTCGGCGAATACGCAGCATTGAACATCGCGGGTGTGCCTGGTCAGACTCGGACACTATTTTTCTCGTCGGCCGCCGTGCAATGCATCTGCAGGAACGCTGCGAACAATCTTCGCACAAAATAATCGATGTCATGGCATCTGCGACTGCGATTGAGAATATTCTTCAAGGCGTCAGTTTCGAAATTACGTGTGTCAACAGCTGTGACAAGGGCCTGGCTTGGAGCAATTACTCAATTCAACTAATAACAGTCTTTGGTATCAAAGGTCCTTGGTTTTCCTTAAGGCCTTGAGGGACCGAAAATGTCTATTTATACAAGAAGTCGGTGAGGACCTTCTGCCCTAATCCTGTGACCGTAGCCCTTGTGTAACCGTGTGACATTGGCCCATTTCCATGTGACAACAGCCCAAAGGAGACAGTCCTCGCCAGAACAGCAGCACAAGTGGCAGAGTTGCAACAGACTTTGGCGAGCGCTGGGATCCGTAATATTCCTATTGAAGTCCCATATGCCTTCCATTCGTCACAGATCGTGCCGATCCAGACTCCATTTATTAAGGATGCACAACAGGCCGTCTTCCGGAAGCCCCTACTCCCAGTCCTTTCGCCCCTTGACGGCACGGTGGTCCAACATGGTGATATATTGGGCCCGGAATATTAATTTAAAAAAAAATATAATAAAAAAGATCAGCTTGCGTTGATTATATAATTTAAGAAGTTATTTAATATATTTTTTTTTATAATATTGTACTCCATGCCAGAGAGCCGGTGCAAATAATGAAATGTCTCCAATCTGCGTTTTCAGCCAGTATGCTTACAAAGGCCTCCTTTGCCATCGAATTCGGCCCTCATCCAGTAGTTTCAGGCATGATCAGAGCGACTCTCGGCTTTGATATTACAGTTCTGCCTACTTTTCGCCGCAATACCGATCCTTGGGAAGTATTAACCAAGTCGTTATGTTCTTTGTGTGCCTCTGGTTCTCCGGTTAAGTGGGAAGGCTACTTTGCCGATGTTCATCGGCCAGGAAAGTGATTGATCTTCCCGCTTATAACTGGGATCTGAAGTCGTTTTGGATCCCGGACAGAAACGATTGGACTCTCACGAAGGGTGATATTCCTGTTCACCAGTGTCGCGTTGCAGCCGAATTAGACAAGTCTATACCGTCGACATCTTCTTTCAATATTGCTCAATCTGCCATCGTGGAGACTCCAAAACTTAAATCTAGTGCCATTCATGAGGTTCTGGAAGAACGGATTACAAGTAATGGGTATGAAGTTGTCACGGAGTGTGATGTTAACCGTGCTGATGTTCGGCCTTTTATCCGGGGCCACACTGTCGATGGCTTCAGCCTATGTACACCGGTAAGAGGTAACATTGAATTTCTCCCGTGGGTAAACACCGTTTAATTCAGTCAATTTAAGCAGTTTACGCAGATATTAGTTTTTCAATTGGAGCATATGCTCTCGAGCGTTTTCAGCCACCCTTTCTAGAAGGACTCATCACCATTACGGACATGGATATCACGAGAGCCTTGGTTGGCTCCGCAGATTGGAAGCTTGCGTTGTACAGCCAAGATCAATTGGGCGTCCAAAGATGCTAATCTCAGGATTACTGCTTACGATGTAAGCAAACTTGAAACATCAAATTTGACTACCCTGCTTCTAAAAATAAGGCTGACAAAGCTGTAGGAACGTGGAAGCGAGATTGGTCAGCTTTCTACCTTTTCCATGAAGTTTATTAACAAGTCTGATAGCCAAGATTTCTCACAGAAGCTCCCGAACATGCTAGAACACTTGGAAAGAATGCGTCGCCAACTCACTGAGGGGAAGACCTGCAGATTCAGCGGGCCAATGGCGTATGGTTTAGTCTCTGCGCTGGCTGAATTCAGCCTGGACCACTATTGCGTCGACGAGGCCCTATACGACAATGAACTTTATGAGTGTATTCAAGTGGTCAGCTTCGGCCAGATGAAAAAGGGAGGCATATTTCACATCAACCCTGGTTTGATCGATGGCTTGACCCAGTTAGGAGGTTTCACTATGAATGCCAATGACAAGACGAAACTTGACACAACCGTCTTGGCAAATCATGACTGGAAGAATTTGCAGCTGTTTGAGGCCATTGGAGACGGTTGCCAGTACTTTGCCCATGTCCGCATGACCCCTGGAGACAAGGTTCTTTGGGAAGGCGATGTGACTATTTTCACGGACGATCGAATCGTTGGCTTGGTGGAAGGAGTACAGGCAAGTTCCTCAAATCAAGACTGGCGTATGCGGTGACCTCAGTGCTAAAATTAGTGTTATAGATTCAAGAGGTTCCTCGTCGATTGCTCAAGTTCATACTAACGCAAGCAGCCAAACCTCCAAAATTCAAGACCAAAAGTGCCAAAGAAACTAGATCCATACCCAGCAGACGCGAGGAGGAGCTCTTGATATAACTTTTGCTAAACCGCTAGCAGCTAAAGGTGCTCCTATACTTGCTGCACCTGTACTAGTTGCCTCTAAGGCAACCGCCTCGGCCTGTAAAGCGTCTCTAGAAGTTTTGGCATGCGTTAATTCCTTAACATCTAACGCTATGGGGATTGTCGCGGAACAAAGCGGTATTCCACTATCAGATTTGCGCGATGAAACTCGATTTGATGACATTGGTATCGACTCTCAACTTGCACTAATGACCACAAGCTTATTGGCTGAAGAGCTTGGCATTACCGCGGACTCAACACTCTTTTTGGGAAACAGTACCGTGGCTGGCTTGAAGAGGGCTTTGGGACGACCGCCATTATCCTCTACACTGCCGGAATGTCAAGGCTCTACAGAAGTCAGAGATTCGACCCCCGCCATTCAATCTACTACTACAACCGTGTCGCAAAAAGTGCCTTCATCGGCTTACCAAGGTCAGACGGTGTTCTCCGCGGCGGCATCTGAAGCAGGGGATCTAAACGCCGATAAGAAATTTGCCAGTGTACTGAGAATTATTTCCGAGGAGGTCAATGTACCTGTCGAACATCTCACTGATAATATCTTGCTTGCAGATCTTGGAGTAGACTTGCTTCTTTCCCTGATCATTGGAAGTCGCCTTCGAGACGAACTAGAGATAGACATCGACACACAATCTATGCTGACAACTCTGGATTCGATTCATGCTCTTTGCATATCCCTGTTTGCTACTGGCAATAAAACGAGGCCTAGTTCATCGCAGCTCAACTTCTCAGGCTATAGCACACCTCCTTTAATGGAAGCCTGAGGCGTGCTCACACCATGTTCCGAGACCGACTTCATATCTGTCAAGGAAAATGTCTCATCAACAACGTCTTTTATTTTACAAGGGAGTCCACGCACGGCGTCAAAAGTTCTATGGTTCTTCCCTGACGGTAGTGATTTAGCATCATCATATGCCGGCCTGCCTAGAATTAACAACGATATAGTTGTTTACGGGCTCAACTCACCTTATCTCAAAAAGGGTCTTGAAATGAATTGCTCTTGGGATGGCCTGGTGGGCTGCTTCCTCACCGAATCCAACGTCGTCAGCCATCCGGACCGTACAGTTTCGCTGGCTGGTCGGCCGGTGGGATTCTTGGTTTTCGCGCTTCGCAAATACTTATGAACGCAGGCAAGGCAGTAGGAGATCTTATGATAATCAACTCCCCCCCAACTTTCAAGCTTGAGCATCTCCCGGAACATTTTTTTGAATTCTATAGCACCTCGGGTCTATTTGGCAAGCAAGGCGCAGCACCTGACTGGGCGATTTCTCATTTCCGAAGCATTAACCGCGTTCTAAGTACATATTCTGCTATACCACTCACTGTGAGCACTCTTCGGAAGGTTAACATTCTCTGGGCCTGTGAAAGTTACGTGGACGAGAGATTCAAACCAGAATTAGATGATCCGGAAGGTATGCAATTCTTGACAGTTAAACGCACCGACTTTACAGCCGGAAAATGGGGGCCCTTATTTCCATGTGTGCCGGTGCAGATTGATCGTGCAGAAGGCGAGCACCACTGGTCTTTATTGGTAGGTTATTATCGCATGTATAGAAAGCATCCTCTATCGCGTAGAAGGGCGAGTCTGCTACGAAGATTTCTACTTATATTGCAAAGGTTCTCAGGTAAATTTAAAGGGGCGTGACGAAAAAGTCTGGTGGAACATGCAATCCCGGACGAGGCATTTATTGGGCGGTCTTCAAATGTCACATCTTTTTGCCATGGATCGTTGACTTGTAGGGCAATAGCCCGCATATATACAGGCTAGGTTCAGATAGGCAGCCTCATGCAGCATTATTTATGTTGGTTAGTTATTATACGTAGCATGTCTTACCTTGCTATGACTCTCTATGTTCGGGTGAGGTGTCCAGGCGCCGAAGAGCTTCGACCAAACCAGAAAGCTGTCATTTGTGATCAATAATGCCTCCCATGTTTCTGCAATAAATTACTTTTACTTAATTTCTTATTTCCCTTCTTTTCCCTTTCTTCCTCCTCCTCCCCTACTCTTCGTTCTGTCTGGCCTCACCAAATCGCCCACAAAGAAAGACAAGTACATGTCAAAAACGCCGTCGCTATGATGGTTTACTTCTAAAAACGTATCAACATTAAGAAAATATCCTCCAATACGTATAATGTGTCGTACCATCCGGATTGGCGCGTGGGTATTAGTAAGTACAGCATTTCGAAATCCCCTATCGTCGTAAGACTTCTCACACGAGGCAAAAAATAAACAGCATTATTTGGCGGTTGTGTTGCTGCCCAGATCCATCATGTGCTGGCGACGCACGTTGTGCAAGACCCTACTATGAAGTCCTTGAACCAACCAGATATCATGACGCTTCATATTGAATTCCTCCGTCCCTGCGAGCTGCAAAATAGTACTATTTCTATCAATCCTCTTAAGGCTGGCAAGCTAGCCTGCACTTTACAGGCGCATGTCCACCAAGGCGGCAAGCTCAAGGTCTTTGCTCTAGCTACAACAACTAATTTTGACAAGTCTCTGGTCCTAATATCGCTAGTCCGTGGAAGCTTAACCCGCCACCATTGCCCAAGCCGGATTTCAAGCAAGTTCTTGCTGGTAAGCCCGACGAGAACTGGCTGCCGTCGCACCACACGGGCGATCTAGCGCCAGTAACGGGTAAATTGCCTCCCTTGCGTACGCGGACCGACTATCCAGTGCAAGGCTTCACGGATGGTTGGAATACCTTTGTGGGAGGTGAGCGTATGGACGCGTCTTACTTGGCCTTTTAGCCGATTTTATTCGGTTAATGTCTGGTCGCATTTGTTTCTAGGCACCGGCTCGACGCAGGACTATAACGCCTACTCGGCAAAGGTCCGTGAATGGTGCGATAAGAACCCGGCTGTCCCGGCCGTTATTAGCCACACTTTAAAGGATTCCATGAGTGCTAAGACACTAGACTCTACTATAGCTATGAGCTTCTAATTTAAGAGGCGCCTTGCAGCGGAGGAACAGGAGTAGACATACACGAGAGTTGATACCAAGATGATGGAGAAGGGAAGGATGGATGTCGCTGTGTCTGTCTTTAACGAAGAGTTTGAACTACTCTGCACCTGCCAGCACATGACGCTGGTTCTTGAGTCATCTAGAAAGTTTGGAGCCAGTAGCCAGAAGGCTTGTCTTCAAGTTTTGGAACCCTTGTTTAGGGTGTAGTTACTTTGTTCTTTAATGAAGGAAGGCTGAGTGAAACTCGCCATGAAGTACCGGGTGTCCTTATTTATAAGCTGGTCGCTTGTAGGGAAAGACGCCTTTTAACTTCATACATGAAATTTAATGGCATTAAAAGAGCCAACAGTTTCTTTTGAATATTTTTGTCAACTCAAACAGGCAGCGCCTCTGCACTGGCATCTAATGGTCGACTCTGGAAACGGCTTTCGATACGAGCATGCCAAGGTGGCCTTGGATTCCAAACTCCTGCCCGTATAGCTTGATATTTCTACAATACAGACTTGTTTAGTGTTCGCATAAAAGGGAGCATTTTCACCCGCGTCATGCAAACGTGGACCATGAGTGGAATAATTACAGCATTTGTATATAAATCTCCCCGCGCCCAACCAGTGCCACCCACTAACGCAGTATGTCAGCTATACATTTTCACTTTCAACATCCCACCGCCACACTGAGATACAAGGGCCGGACAAGTTGACAGACTAGAGTGATATGATGCTGCAATCAATGGCGTTGCATCTGGTTCCATCTACCCAGATGCGTGGCAGCTAGACGCAGAGAGATTAATCCGCACACTGAAAAGGAAACTCAGCGACGCCTAGTTTTAATTCGACTATTTAAAGTACCAAAAAACCGTCTGGTGGTGATTATAGATGGCAAGGAGCTCATCTACAAGTGGAAAGAGGAATGAGACATGACGTCACGTTACTCTCCCAAGGAACCCGTCGTTCTCTTCCGAAACTGAACTTCTGGGCCGTGCCGAATGGTAATATACGCGTCCTTCAGATGCAACTGCTGAGGGCTCCGTGCTCCCCATCCTAGTGACGGGTGGCCAGCGCCAAGCATAGATCCTGGAGTTCGTCGAACCCCGAGCCGGTGTAGTGTTCGGGCGACCGCGATCAGTATCTCAGACATGGCAAAGACATTTCCAATGCAATGACCAGGCCCGGCGCCGAAAGGATTAAAGTTGGCTTTCAGGCGAGCAACATGCTCCTTGGTTACACCCTCGGCCTCATCAACTATCCAGCGTTCGGGACGGTACACATCAGTGTCGCCGTATACCCGTTGATTGCGCGCATCGCACCACGACGAGGTTCCCACAACCGTTCCCGCCGGGTAGTATTGGCCCTGAATGTGAATCCCGCCGCGCATTACTTCCCGTGGCAACTCTGATGGCCCTGATGAGGTTAAACGCATAGCTTCATCAACACGGGCCCGGAGATAGGTGCAGCTCGCGAGCTTGGGTCCGTGAATGATATCATTGGTCAATTCGAGTATGCCCCGGATTTCATTTTGGACCTTGATTAGCCGTCTTGGGTCACCTGTGAGGTAGAAGAAAATTCCCGAGAGGCTGGCGGAAGTGGTGTGGGAGCCAGTCACAACGAGCAGGCCAGCCCCTGCTTTGAGGATTTTGGCATCATAGGCTGTAACCCTAGCCCTGAGACCTGGGATAGTCGAGGATGGGGAATATCTCATCAAAGTCGTACTGCGGCACTTGTCCCGTCGTCAGTCGAGTCCATGGTAGGCAGTTTTCTACCCCCGAGGGTATCTACTTACCTAGCCAAATCAAACCAAACCTACATGTAACGCTCCAGACCTTCCGTAGCTACTAGAATGTCGATAATCTCGTTCAGCTCATTATTATCGGGTGAGTGCCTGCTCACAATAGTCTCGAGCATCTCCACGATATGCATCACTGTCTTCTCCCTGCTTCCGAAGGACTCCAGGATGGTCTCTAGCTTGTTGACCATGTTCTCCAGCACTAACACCTGCTGGTACTTGGACTTGCCTGTGCTGTCGGTCATCTGGGCGATGATGCTGTTCTTCCCGACATAGAAGCCGTTCGAGCCTCCACCTCCGCCTGCGCTCGGGCGCTGGGACTCAAAAGATGGCGTGGTCGACGCCCAGGACCGCGAAGGGGATCCCGGAGAGGGTCAGGACCGTAGCGGACGCAGCAACGTGAGTAGGGCAGGAAGTGGTCTGGTGCGTCAATTACGGCTGCTGGAACGGGTTTGCCAAACACCTGCATGATCAGAGGTCTAACCTCTGCTTCAGCTGTCTTCTCGATGAAGAACATGATCGGGTTCAAGAACAACTCCGCAAGGGGCTACGACAGCAAGCACACCTTGTGGGGTCGAGCTTTACCACACATGCGACGGTGAGATTGCCCACAAAATTAAGCACAAACACGGCGTTGATAGATGTCACGGCTGTGACAAGAGTTCAGTATGAAGGCTTGGAGCAAAAGGGCTCAATTCAGTAATCATCTCGAAGGGTCTCTAAGGTCTTGAGTTCCTACGAGAAAGGAAGAGAAGGGTGACCGCCTTCTATACATGAAAGGAACGCCCGGGCCTAGGGTCCTTGCCCGGCCACGTGTTCCAGCTGTATAACCAACAAGTCCTGTATCGACGAAGCCCCTTTGTTGGGCTTCACGATCCGGTTGGGCCTTTTCCGTGTAACAACGGCGAAGGAAGAGGACCAAGCGTGGGTCAGCATCGAAGATTCGGTACAAATTTCGGAGAACTAAAGCGGTTTATGGGGGCTGGTATTGCATTTTTAATAGAGCCTATGAATACAAACGCGATAGCCATCTACCCGGACGCAGAGGAAGCACAGTTCCGACTCTTTTCTCAATCTTGGCTCCAAATTCCCACTCATGCGTGGCATCGCCAACAAGGTTGATACTGCTTTCCCAAACGTAAACCATCTGTCACATCACTGCCTTACTTCTGTGAGATTCCAAGATTAAAAACGCGTCACGAGAGACACCTTCCTCGATGAGACAACCGACTCAAGGCCCGAGACTCTCCAGAGTCAGATAAGCGCTGCATCAATTATAGAAACAACACTGCACAAGCTTACATGCGATTCATGTCTATTCCAGGGTGTTTTAGTCTTTTCCAACATTTGGAATGAAGCCGGATGGCAGCTTCGATGTAGCAGTCGCGGCAAGATCTCCGATTGATGCTCCGCTCTGGATATGCAGAATGGGAATTTCGACCTCGAGTTCTCTGATGAACCAAGTCCGGAGATCAACAGCAACCAAGCTATCAGCACCCAGCTCCGCCAACCGGGTATCTGGAGTCACAGATATATCCTCGGAGAGGTGGAGCTTTTGGATAATCTTTGCCTTGAGCGCGGCCAGGACCACCTCTTCTGCTTCGGCCACATTGGTCGCGGATGCTAGCTGCTGCTTGATAGGCATGAGCGTGTTTGTCGACTGCGACGAGGTGGAATGCAGTCGGTAGTTAACGAGCGGCCATGTCTGCGGATTACTGTACCAAATAAGATCGGGTGTCTCTTCGGGATCATGCTGCGTGAAGCCGGACATTACTTCTGGGTCACGCCCGGACGCAGGATCACCCGCCAGGATGGCCTCGGCAAAGGTTTCATGCAAATCTCTCTCCGATACAATGTGTCTGCCGACGAGCTTGTTCATGAGTCGTGACAGGTCACTGCCCATGCGTGAGATGTACCCAACTCCACAGACTTCGGCGGGATGAATAATACTTCCAACGAGGTTCTTCTCTCGTCGCCGGCGGATTAAGCTCCTCATGAAATTTGTAGCGGCTGCATAGGAAGACTGTCCCATGTTGCCGAGAATGGCAGTTGCAGATCCAAACAGGATGAAAAAGTCCAAACCGTCTCCGCCGTATATTTCTTCAAGCAGGCGGCTGCCTTGGACCTTTGGCTTGAACGTCCCCAGTATACTCTGCAATGGGGAATCTGAAAACATTTGGTCTTGTAGGACCATGGCACCATTGACAACTCCACCGACGGGTGGCAGGTTTTGACGAATAGTGCGGTCGACATTGAGGATGGACTCTCGGTCCGTGACGTCCCTGTTTCGTTTGTAAGTATTGATTGCAGATATAAAGAGATTCCTTCTCGACATGTCACGACTTACATGGATTCCACCCTGACATTGGCCTCCAATTTCGACATCTCATCGATCCATTGTGGGTCGACTTTGGGGTTTCGACTGGCCAGAACGATATTGCGTGCTCCTCTGGTGATCATCCAGTGGCATACAGATTGTCCGAGATCGCCCGACATGCCAACGAGGAGATACGTTTTGCTACCTGATAGTCTGACTTGGGAGCTTGCAGAAGAAACTCGAACTGGGAGCTCACTCGCTTGGGCCCAGTCAATAATCTCGACTTCACTCGCTCTCAAACCTCGGCGAGGAACCTGCTCCACGTCGATCACATTGGTCTTTTCACTTGACTCGAAGTGCTTGGCCAGCTCAAGCATGACATCGCCAGCCACGACACGTGCCATCTTGAATGTTTCGCTTACTGCGGCCACATTAAGACCCTTTGAAGGCAACGGCGACAGTCTGCAAAGGGTGCCATTGTGGTGTCGTTGAACATCCTCGGACAGCAGTGACTCTACCTTTGAAAACACTCCATTGGACGTGTTGCTAAAGTTGGCTATGACGGAAAGATTGGTAGGAAGCAGACGAGAAAGCGTTCGAGACGAGCTCGCGTCATGGAAGAATAAGATGCTGGAACTCGACTCCGCGACGGCAGCAACACTGGTGCTGAAATGTGGCTGGACACCTAAACAAGATTGGAGAGTCAGAATTGCCAAATACCACTGGGAGAGGAGCGGGAGTTGTCCTCCAGGATTCGCCTGGAGAAAGGAAGTGAGGCTTACCTTTGGCAACAGCGGCGGTCAAAATGGCGCGTTTGAGATAATCACTTGCCTCATGAACCAAGAGACCTGTATTTGTTTCTGCCTGTTCAATAATGTTTCTAGCCATCACCGCAGATGCCACAATCTTCAAGAACTGGGGCTCTTGGCTCTCGGCAATATGGTTGGGGAGCTCCCAGCACCATGCCGAGGGCGACGAGATTCTGGATGCATTCTTGGTTGCAAAGGCGACAAACCGTGCGTTGGAGACCTCGTGGGTTCCCAAGATGAGACTCAAAAAGCCAGCACCCTTTACTCTCAACGCCAGAGAGACAGAGTATCGGACACGGATCTGAACCATGGATTGATGCTCGTCAAAACTGGCGTCTTTCACACCGTCAGCTGTCTCCACAAACTCAAAATTGCCGCTGGTGGAGCGAAGCTCGACAGTTGACTGTTCCAGGTTCATCTGGTTATAGACGGCTCTTTGGGCCGCGGCGTATCGCTGGTTTAGTGAGGTCGCATTCATGATTCGCGGAATCTTCATGACGTTGTCTTCGAAGCGAAGCTCAAGCTCTACGCTACCAACACCCTTGGAAAGACTGTAATCATTGGTAAACTCGGACTGAACCATGCGCATGAGGGTGTTGCCGAGGAGCGTCGCATTAACAGCATCCGGATCGACAATGTTGAAATACTGATGAAGTGAACCCTTGTACTCGTATCCGATACAACTGAGAAATCCTTTGCTCATACTCAGATATGGATTTTCGGACTCGGAGCCCGCCGTCACCCACAACAGTCTCCGGCCGACTTCTAGCAACCTAAAATGAGGTGAGTACATGCAAATCAAGTACGAGTGACTCATCGCCTGAAAGTCTTGGACATGCCGTTCCTTGTCGCTGACTCGGATTGGCATTTCGTGATTTCAGGCGTTGGCCAACAGAGGGAGTAAACTGCACCCACAAGAAATTCGGAAACGTACCTCTTCAAGCAGCTCAGTTTCTGAGCCGTCAAGTCTTTGAAACACGGAGAGTCCATGTCTGCAAGACATAGGATTGCGGCCAGTGGTGCATCAGAACACTCTACGGAATCAATGGTCAAGGCGTCATAGACCTGATGGAAATAAGGAGCCAGTAGCCTCTGCAACTCGGGAACGAGACGCGAGGTTTTCTCCGTGGCACCGCCAATAAGCATGATGCTCTCAAGTTTATCTGATGCAGCTGGTGCGACGGCCAAGGGCTCGCGGAGTGACTCTACACCATCTTCGACTGCCTTTGTCACAAAGGTCGAATAACCCCAGTACGCGTACTCGGGCTTTTCCGGCGACGGGATGATTGTTTCCACGCCACCAAAGCCCGTCTTCCTGAGAAGGTCTTCCCACTTTGGCACTGAGATTTTGGGACCCCAGGGTCTGTTGTCCTTTTTGCCAAGCCACCATCCCTCGAAGGCGCAGAAGAACATGGCATCTTGCAAAATGTTCTCGTTTGTGATCTCTAGGGCAATAAGATGGCCCCCGGGCTTTAGTAGGGTGCGAACATTGGTCATGGTCGGCTGTAGGAACTTGGTGGCATGAAGGACATTGGCTGCGATGACCAAGTCGTACGAGTTTGCGTCAAAGCCCTGTTCCACAGGACTCTTTTCAATATCGAGTACGCGGTAGACCATTTTATCAGCATGCTCGGTGAAGGTGGCCTCGGCGTCCTCAAAAAAGCCAGCCGAGATATCAGTGAAGGTGTAGGAATGGAAATACTGGCCGATGCGCCTGAGAACAGCTCTGGTTGCTGAGCCGGTGCCTGCTCCAATCTCAAGAATCTTCATGCGAGGATACCTAAAGGCTAGTTGTCCGGCCAAGTCGCCAACCCTCAGACTCATGTACTTGAGCTCCTGTTCTTGATCATAGAATCTGGTGAGGAGATTGTCCTGGCGATAGACTTCTATCATGGGAGTCTCGCCGCGCAAGAAGCCTAGAAAGTGTTTCCTTGTCTTCTCTGTCATCTCCACGATGATAGGTTGTGCTTTCTTTGCCAGGACGTCGAGGACTTCGCCTGGGTCTTCATCTGCCCACTCCTTGTTGCAAAGGGGGTGTTTGCCTTCACGCGTCATCTCAACCACATGGTCAAACCACTCAACCACATCGCGTCGAAATCCCTCAAGGTTCTTGCGGTCC